CCGCAGCTCTACCCCGAGCAGCGCGGGAGCACAGCCCCAGAGAGGCACAGCAGCACCCGCAGGTCGCCATGGACCGAGGTAAGGGCCCACAGGGCCGCAAGCAACGTGACCCCATTAGGAGATCGAGGGGGGAGGGGAGGGCAAACGAAGCCGGGGCTCGATCAGCGACCCCCACGCCGGCCAGGACCAAGCAAGGCCCCACAGGACCACAACACCCCACGTTAGAACTGACGGAGGGGGAGGAGGAGGGAATGAGCCACACCAACCCCCCCCCAAGGGCCCACGCAGCGCCATACATACCGCCGGGGAACGTGGGCATCCGCAGACCCGACACCACCATCCATGCGGAACCCCGTGCAGGGGACATCAGGCGCCCAGGTACTGCGGAGGACTGGCGCCCCCGACCGCAGTCGCGGCGCCAGAAGCCTGTGGGGAGTACTGTGATTGGGCGGCCGAGACCCCCAGTCATATGCACCCCCCTGGGACGAACCCATAGGCCACCCCGCCAGAGCGGGGCCATCGCAGCCGGCCCACCGGAGCGAGCCTGCATGCGAACGTCGGTCGTCCAGGGGAGACTCCAAGGATCCAGGACATCCAGCCTGTCGCCCGGACAACACTTGCTAGAAGATTCTACTGAAAAAAGCAGGAAGAAGCAGGTAAGAATACCCGAGAAAAAATTCTTAGCTCCTTACTCCTGACGCTAGGCAAAAAAACTGGAGACTTGTCAGCAGGTGGGGGGTTTGGCCACCAGCAGGGGCCGCCCCTAGGCTGTAATTGGTCTTTAGTTTTTTATGCCTAGCGTCCTTCTCCTGCAGGTGGCGATATTACCCTACAGTACATGATCTCCGATCTGTTCCCTGTGTCCTTCAATGAACGGGAGAGAAAATAATAGTACTACTTCTCTGAATGGAAGAGAGAGGAGGAAGGGGTGGGAATGAGGCACAACTATTAGAGACTCTTTCACAATGGCAGAGGCCACTGCTAATACTGCAAAATCAATGCTCTATAAGGGGTATCCAGCAGCACTTGTGGCAGAATGTTTAGAATAAGCAGCAGCCACCAGGACATGGGACAAACCTCACTTGAAGAAAGGTACTGTATTGTCCATGGGGCTGAATAACAAAAAAACTAAACTAAACTTAATCTTTAGTATTAAAATGTCATATTTGTCACGTGCAGCCACAATGTGCAAATATAGAAATATGTATCAAATTTACACACACAGGTGGATCAGTAAGGTGGGAAATAACCCCTCCCACTCTGCCATCAAATAAGGACCAGCGTGCATTTTTAGTTAGAGGCAGTGCTGGGCTTTCCAACAAAGTGTCTTGGAAGTCCGCTGAGGGAGAGTTATCATTCTGTCGCAAGGCAAAGCAGTGCAGTACAGGAGTCACAAATTCTTCTTTAACTGCTGTAAAGTAGCACTGACAGAATGAAACCTGCTGACACTGACCCCTTCTTAGTCATGCATCTGCTTGCAAAGTTCTGTAACAGATTTATCACTCATAATCAGAAGTGTTGCCTTTGGCTGCCCAGGAAAACACACTCATTGCTTTGTAAACCCGTCGCAGAGGCTTTGCTGAAGGAGAAGCAGACAAATTTACGACTAATTATGTTGCTAGTTTGAGTGATAAACGTCCCCCCTCAACAAAACTTTATAAAGAGTTTGAATTATAAACATGGAAATGAATAAAATAAGAAACCAAGAGCCACTCTAGATTGCCTTTGAAAGATTAAATATGCAAACTTACCGTGCGAAGTCCAACTTCTTTCATTAGATCCGCCATCTCCTCATCCACACCTGTAAACATCAACACAATGAAAATATTGTCCATCATCAGACTTCTCATTTAGCTGTATACTATAGGAACTCATTTTATGGCAATATAAAAGTTTATGTAAAACAAAAAATTGATATTGCAATATTACATTAATTTGTTACAAAAGTGTCTATGACATATTACGAGGAGGAGCCTGGTGATCCAGTCAGTTCCCCCGTCTTCCTGTGACACTCTGACCACAACAAGAAACAATCTGTGCCGGCATAGTCAGTCTGCATGCCTGATCTTGCTGACTGGAGCTAAAAGACGCCGTGCCAGCGCACGACATGCCTGTCCTCTTGTTTTCTCGCCATTTTCTCCGCTCCAGAGTACAGTACTTTGCCATATCCAGAACAAGGCAAGGGTGCCGCCTCTGCCACTCATCTTCATACTCCCCAGTAAACTCTCTCTCTCTGGTCCATAGGGTCCAACCAAAACATTACTGGCATTACCAAATAAAATCTCAGAAAATGATGCCTAACGTTTTTGATCTCCCCACCTTACAGTACACCTCCCCCACATACTATAAGCCATCAAAACCTACAGATTCCTTTCTAACTTTATTCTCTCAAAGTCAGTCACCCTAAAATCTATTTAACCAAAATCCCTCTCCATGAAACCTCACTTTTCATTTAATTAGGCTGAAGCAGTTATTGTACCTGGGCACCAACATCACTACCAATTGAGGTAAATTATACAAGCCCAACTTTCCACTAGAGAGTTAAAAGCAACCTAAAATTCTGGAACACCCTCGATTCTGACCTGGTAAGGCCGATGTGATACCCTCAGGATAAATTGTCCTGCTATGCTATATTATAAAGCTACTTCTGTCCTTTTTCAGTGAACTCGGATCCATGTTCACTGCATTTATTTGGGGCCACAAAGCCTCTAGAATGGAACCATACATTCTGTCCCTACCCAAACCAAAGGGCAGCATCAGGCTTCCTGACATCACCTTATAATATAAAGCAGCCCATCTTACAATAGCACCACCAAACATGAAGACTCCATTAGCCTGATATCTGGACTCCCATGGCTGTCCTCACCCATACTTCCAGGGCTTCTTTCACACCCGGACCACTGGAACCACAATCCAAGGCTTGCAAAAAAATTTACGGGTCACAGAAATATCCCAAGTCCCATTAACTTTGCGATTGGCAACCCTGACGATGCTCTGAGCTTAGATAACGGGAACCTTCATCCCCTTCTTGCAGCGGGCATATTTCCTATAGTTAGGAATAATACCAACTCCACTCCCACAGACCTGAGGGCACAGAGACGCTACACTCAAGACTCACCCGTTGAGGTGGATGACCCTCTTCCATGGAGCCAAAGCCCAAGGTGAGAAACCCCCCCTCCCTACCACCAAATAGGACTGCCTACCCTCCTACCCTACCTATACCACCATTTTCAAAAAAACATCCATTCCACTTATATTATATTAACAAAACCGGACCTTCCTAATCCATGGGTGGGGCGGTTAAGACACACAACAGATCACAATACCAACCATGACTGAATCCCATTCAACCCCATCTCCCCCTTGAGCTGAGTTTTGTATTCTATTTGCAATGCTCAGATGGAGATGAACATCCAAAATCTTTTTTATGCCGTGTCCCATTTGGGAGGTTAGTCTTTATTGCTTGCCATGTAGACACAACAGAACTGAGAGGAGAATCTCCAAGGCAAATAAAGATGTCCCCTGCACATCATACAGCAATTAGGACCGATGCTTGAAATAGTAGCAGTGCTTCTCCACTGATCGCGCTGTGCATATCCAAAAGTAACAGCAATGAAGATCACCAGCACTCGCAGGATGAGAATAAATCCAGACGTTCCATCTATTGTAGAACAATGTCACATGGGTAATATAGCCAACGTTTCAAAACCGCGCAGGATCCCTTCATCAGGGCAAACATAGTCACTATGTTTGCCCTGATGAAGGGACCCTGCGCAGTTCCGAATCATTGGCTATATTACACGTGACATTGTTCTACAATAGATAGAACCTCTGGATTAATTCTCATCCTGCGAGTGCTGGTGATCTTCATTGCTGTTACTCTTCAAGGTAAATGTAAGGGAAATCCTGTCACTGGAAAAAGTATCCCCACTGGAAGATTTGCCCTCTATTGCTTCTCAGGTGACAACTCAAAATGTTGGAGGTTCCCATCAATGTTTAGTTTTGGTGACAGTGGTCACCAGGACAAATAGAGATTGTGAATCCTCCTAAGTTGGGGACACATTGAACAGGGATTCTAACCCTTCAGCGCTTTATCTAAAACTAAACAGAATCGTTTTGGCTTCAGATGCACCTTATATTTATCTATTGCAGTGGTGAACTTTCCCTTTAAGCCATATACCAGCACCCAGCAGAATCCTATTTGAAATCAACATTGGCGACACTCTGTAGTCAATTATCTTTTTCTTCAGAAGCAGTCCAGAAAAGAGAAGATTGCTCTGACCCGAGCACCTCGCTGTATCTTTGTAGAAACAAACCCAAAGTAATTGCAGAAAAGATGTAATGTGTGATTTAAACAATTTATGTTTGATTGAGACGGAAATCAGCTTGGCCTCATTTGCATACAGATTGCCCGCATGGCATCCTCAGTGCAGTTTAAAAAAACAAAAACACATTTCTGTTGATACATTAAAATCAAATTACCTGAATTAACATTGTGATACAGACAATACTGCTACAATGTGAAGGACAGCGCACAGTAACAAATATGACATTGTATAAAGTACTATCAAAAATAAATAAATGGGTCCCAATACCGAGATAATATTAATCTAGGTTCTTAGAGCTAGGAGCAGGCAGCAGTGCACGTTCTCCTAATTCAATACAGTGTTAAAAAATTTAAAACATATGAGGGTAACTCTGAAATTTTTGAGATATTCAAAAAAATGATTTACTGCACATGTGTTAACATTCAACATCTTAGAAACCTATGCACAGCAGTTTCATTAGGCCTGGACTATTCCAGCAGCCGCAAGACACATTACGAAGTGACGAGCCATGAAGCTGCAATGGGAGCACTACCACGCTATGATTTTCTATGCTTTTCAAGTTGGCTTGGACGAAGAACACTGTATGCAGAGGTTACACTTTGCATTTGGGGATGAAGCACCATGGCAACTATCTTCTGATGGTTTAGAGAATTCAGAAGGGGGCGTTTTTTCGCTACAGGACATTGAACAAACGGGAAGGCCCGCTACGGCAGTCACTCCAGAAAAAGTGGCCTGTGTCCAGAAAATGATAAATGAGGACAACCGGTCTCGTTGCAGCTCCATGACTTGTCACTTCGTAATGTGTCTTGCGGCTGCTGGAATAGTCCTGGCGGAATGAAACTGCTGTGCATAATTTTTTAAGATGTTGAATTTTAACACATGTGCAGTAAAGAATTCGTAAACTATGTTTTGAATATCTAAAAAATTTCAGAGTTACCCTCACAGAGCCACCCACCGCAGCCAATCACGCTGTGGAATGCCATTATTTTCTAATGGCATCCCAGTCGGACCGGGCGGATTGCGCGGTTTCCCACCGCGACTCCGTCTGTGCAATTGAACACGATCACGGCTTAAAAAAAAACAAAACAAAAAAAAAAAAGCTGCACTTCGTGTCTCGCAAAAAAAGGTACATGCACCTTTTTTTTATAGTGATTGCCGTGCAGATGTCACCCCATTGAAATCAATGGGGCCGGCACAGCAACTGCTGTGTGCACTAGCACACAATCGCGTCCCGGGTGTCACTGAGGTGTGAACCTAACCTAGTGTTTACCAGGGATCTATGCACAAACAATTTAGATCAAGCGTTTTGGTTATTTAAAAACGCAACGCATTGTTTTTAATACAAACACAGGGAATTAGAAGGTTGCAACAATAAAAATACACACTAAGGGGTCTGATTTGTAAATAATTCTCAGGGTGAGGTAAACATTTGTTTTGTGCAGATAAAAACAAACATTATCAATATATTTGCAGGTCAAACATACTGTCATGTAATACTGCATTATGGCCACTAGACGGGGCTGAGGAGCATCTATCCTATACTGCTGCACTCCATCTAGTTGGCCATCGTGCAGTATTACATGCCAACTCATTCGACCTGCAAAGTATATTGGGAATGTTCATTTTTTTTGTCATTATTTGCACAAAAGCTTCTAATTCCATGTGTTTGGATTCAAAACAATGGCTTGTGTTTTAAATAACTAAAACCCTTGATTTAATTTGTTTTAAGATTATATACTAAATCCCTAAAATGTTGATTAAACCACGACAGACAAAAGGAACCTATCCATTGACTGAGAAATTATATAAATCATACATTGCAATGCAACCGACAGCTTACAAAATACAGATAATTTTTTCCTGCCTGAAGCTTGGAGTATAGACAGACCCCCTTCCGGGACTGGCTGCTGCCCTCTATTAACTTGTAAGCTTAGCTCAGCCAAGTTTGAAAGTATCTTCGAACAGCTAATCTATCTTGCTGCAAGGATAGGCAGACCTCCATCATCACCTAAAAAAAAAACCCTATCTTTGGCGGAATTTAGACCATCATCTGTTAAATGTAAAGCAAGTTTAAAGTCAACAGGTTGAGAACTGTCCCTATTTTTACAGGAAGACGACTTTATTTAAATTAAAATTGTGCAGTCCTGCTCCATCATGTTCCTCATCCTAAACTCTCAAATGAATGAAAACATAAGCTTTGCAGCCAGTATGAGAGCCAGTATCTGCTAAATACAAATTCCTTGACATTTTTCTCCTTTCTAAATGCTGGCGCTCCCCCCAAACTTGCACTGAAATGTCATTACCAATTTATTTTCCAGCTTTCGTCACAAAAAGAGATCAAATAATTAGTGTGCGTGTTTTACACTAATTATTATATTTGTATTATACCGGGTCTAGACTCCAGAGATAGAGACATCATCCAGCCCCTGTATAAAGCATTAGTAAGACCTCATCTAGAATATGCAGTTCAGTTTTGGGCACCAGTTGTAACTAATTAGCTGTATAGTCTGTGTGTTTATAGAGAGGACCTATTACACACGGACAAACCCCCTTTTCTGCAAAGGACATTGATCTCCTGGAAGAAAACCCTTTGATTACGTTTCCCGACCTCTCACGCAGTCACTCGAGATCATTAGATTCAGACAGGGAGTTGGCTGTGACTGACGGTCTGCCTTTCATTTACTACAAGACACAAGAAGTTTGCAGTAAAGGGCTTAGGGGGATCTGTAACCAAAAAAGGCATGCGGGTGTTCAGCAGTTTATTCATTGGATAAAGTATGACATTTCAGCTTAATATGTCTGTGTCAAAGCTAAAGCTGAGCTCTGGGAACAACTGATACACCTCCTATAGTGTCATTGGCATGTACTAAAATATGTATTTGCAGGCAGCCAGATAAGTGGCTAATTCACTATGGGGGGAATGGGAGGCCGCTGCTGAAGCGGATCCCAACAATTATGCCGGGATCCGCCCAGCTGCGTGACTGACAGCTGGCTCTGCCTATCTAGAGGCAGAGCCAGCTGTACCCGCCCCCTCCCCCGTCCGTTCCGCCAGTCAGCGCTGGCGGATCGGAGCGGGGAGGGGGGAATCCAGCCACTCCCCTGTCACGGCAGGGAGCCGTGACAGGATCGAGAGGTGAGCGAACACCGGTATGTGTTCGCTCACTTCCCGATCTGAGCCAACCTGTGACAGTCTCATTGTCACAGGTCAGCAAGAACTATGAGGTGAATGAAAAGCACTCCTCATAGTTCTCCTTTCAGTGAAGATTTGAAAATAAAAAGAGAGAAGCTGCACAGCAGCTCCAGATTTTGTCTGCTTCAGTTTTGATAAATTCCCTTCCCCATTTTCTATCTCACCAAAATAGAATATCTAAGTTCTTAAAGCTTGCTAGCCTAGCCCTCTCCTTTCATTATAGCTTGACAAAGCACTGCTATATTTCCTACATGGGCAGAAAACAGTGACAAGGTTGATTTCCAACTTCCTGGCATAGGGATGAAAACGGGGGGGGTTCATGCAGCCGGCAAGCAGTTTAGGTCATGCTTGTGCAACCTCCAGCGGCTACATGGTCAGTGCAATGACATTTATGTCTGTTCTGTATTCATTTATTGTTCATTGTTATGCTGCCACGCCTGTGGTTACTGTTTTCACTGAATTGTCTGTGAACTCCACCAAGTTGGTGATTTAATTTCCTCCTTCCTCAGTGTAAAGTTCCAGCCTTGCATGACACATGCTACTGCAGTTAAAAGAAAAATATTCCTTTTGACCTTGAAATGTTTAAATCTACCCCATCGACTTGTATCATCTGAAACTGAATACAACAAATGACATTCACGGATGCCAAATATTTTGGCGAGTTCGGCTGATGAAGATTGTTCACAGCTCTCCTCTCAACTCCATTCAGATCAGGCAAAGAGGTCTCAGAGAAAGACAAGTCCACATTACAACTAGGGATGCCCAGATACCAGTGGCGATACTTGGCATTTTCATGAGAACTACAGCGGTTGCAGCTGGGACCTGGCTCTGGCGCTCCACCACTGTCCTGAAATCATTAGTCTGTATTGTTTTAGAAAAACATGTCACATGACAAACAAAAATGTATCAGGACTTGTATCTGTGAGTACTCGGACAAGTATCAGTACTTGCAAAAATGGTATCGGTGCATCCCTTATATATATTTAAAAATAAAATGTATACATTAATACAGAGATGTAGAAATCCCAGGAGCTCCGTGTGCTCCTTACAAATTACAGCTGCCTCCTAACTTTTGAATTTTTGTGTAGTCTAGTCTAGTCTTGGAGCTGAAAAAGTATCTGTACTTGTACTGAGTACAGTACTTAGTATCTGAACATCCCCAATTACAACAAATGGAGTCAGAATGTTAGGTGTTACACAGGCCAGAGGTTCGGTGGCTAATACTGGATTACAAGGTGATAAAGATGCACACAGAAAGGAGAGGAAGAATGATACAGCTGCAATTATAAAAGGCACAGCACATAGCAGCATAGTGTGGAAAAGTCGAGATTGGAGTTTAGCATTAATGCCACAGAGTAATACTAATTTTAACCAGGTACATCCATTTTTAGTAAACATTGGTAGTGTGCTGAATGCCATTTGGCTATCTGCCATCGTCAGTAGATTTGTATTACAAACAGGCAGGACTGCTGATTTTCTACTGCTAAATCCTCAGCTGGCTGAAAGTTTTGTTCAACCTACAAATGGCGGAGCAGGGCTGCTGTGTGGATAAGCAACGTCTGTATATACACGGGCGAGCTTATTGAAGCAAAGGAGAATAATAGATCTCCTGCTCATAAAGGAAGACTGCTGATAAGCACTCTTCTGAGACTCCAGAAAGCGGTACGTTTCCTGGTAAAAGTCAGTGAGCACCACAAACCTTTTGACTTCTCCTCCTCAGCTTCTTCGTCCTTGATAATGAGCCGGCCATCAGCGGTGACTTTGAAGTTGTGGCTCTGCTTTGTGCTCTTCAGACCCGGTTTTGTAGCTGCAATATGAAAGTAATTTTTCACATTAAGTATATTAAAAACATTTATTCTTGCGGCTCAATACGGATCACACTTAGATAAGCAGATAATGACTTTATTTATGTAATTATACAACCCTCTCGCTTCAACAAAGACCATTTATCTAAAATCTCTACACAGTCAATGTTGTGCTCATTTCAGCTTGCACTTCAAGGATTCTCCTTACACACAAGAAAGTAATTGTTGGCTGGGGAATAACCGTTACCATTGCAACAACATCTCCGAAAATAGGACTTTTGTACTCACTGTAAAATGCTTTTCATGGAGTCCATTGAGAGACACAGGAAGTCTCTTACTTTCAGGTTATACTGCCTCCTACAGGAGGATTGGGCACTGGTAAAAAAAAATCCCACCTACTACCAGCATGCTTCTGTTTTGCTGCAAAGCGGTACCAAGAATATCATCATAAATACAAAAGCAGCAGGCCTGTGACCCTCAATGGACTCCAAGAAAAGGATTTTAACACCAAGTACAAAAATCCTCTCATTCATTGACAAACAAGAAGACTTTAACCTTTGGGAGGTCCACAAGCAGTCCAACCGAGGGGCGGGGAACAAACAATTGATAACAGGTCCAAGAATACAGTAGAAAACTGGGAAATCACTGCAGCCTAGAGAGCCGCCTGAAGGACTTTACACCCGAGCTGGCATGAGATGCTGCACAAACGTCTACCTGGTAAAAACCCCCACAAGTCCTGGGGCGATTTTTAACAAGTCCATTAATGGGGGGAAAAAAAAATGGATCCACCGACGTAATCCTAAGGTCAATCACGATGTCCATCGTTGTCCACGATGACAACTCGACAAAATGAAAAAAGAAAACACCGACGTCTGTGATGAACTCCAGCTGCAGAATGAAGAATCTGACAGATGCCGGCAAAATATAAACAATTGGGGGGAGCTACCGGTGACATCACCGCTAGCTCAGCCCAACTGTTTACATTTTACTGGCATCAGAGTGTTCCAGCAACTGGGCGGAGAGTTGTTGTTGTCCACATACATGATTTCTCTCGTTAAGCCCTGATGAAGGGGGGGAGGGGCGTTTTAGACCCTGAAACACGATGACTGCTCCAATGGAATGTCCAGCCGACACTAATGGAATAAAAATGTATCTGGACTCTTTCAATTGGTGTGGCGCTTCAATTCTTACATCTCTCTCGAGCCCAGGATCTTGGTGGAGAACTTCTGGACCGCTGAAGCTGCCCGTTAGCCAGATCACCCAGATTTACATCACTTAACTACTGTTGGATGAGTAACACCAAGAAGATAACCACATGGGTCCAGAACTTTTCTTCCCACTCTTCCAAATATTTGCACAAAACTAAATGACTATATCTGATCCATGTTTTGACAGCATTTTCACTGAATGTACTCTTGGCCGATGTGTTTTATCACATGCTCAGTTTGAACTGCTCTACTCATGATATACATACTGGGGACACATGAACACAGATCTGTACTACCAATTAAACAGCCTCCTTTGTACATATGTAGACCTTCATAAGAATACACACGCTCCCACAGAAGTGTGTTTAACCCCTTCGTGACTGATTGTTTTGGGGCATTTAATTAAATTTGTCACTAAATTTTGGGGTTTAATAAGGAGTTGTGCTAATATTGCGCAACATAAAAATTTTCAACTACCACCATTTTATTCTATAGGGTCTTGGCATTCAGAAAATATATAATGTTGGGGGGTTTTACGTCATTTTCAGGCCTAAAATGTGGAATATAACATGGGTGCAAAAAATGAAAAAAGGGCCTCAGTCATGAAGGGGTTAAAACATTGTTGGGGGAATTTATCAAAACTGGAGCAGTCAAAATCTGGAGTAGATTTGCACAGCAACCAATCAGCTTCTCCGTCTCATTTTCAAATCTTACCTGAGCAAACTGAAGAGAGATGCTGATAGGTTGCCGTGGGCAACTGCTCCGGATTCTCTCTGCTCCAGTTTTGATAAATTCACCCCTGTATATTTATGTGCACTGTATGCTTGCATTGAGCAAATAGGTCATTTAAAGGGCTAATCCACCCAATACCAATAATGTCTGTTTTTGGTAGATACTGGAATGCTAAACCACCCTACAATTTCTCTCTGTTGGTGAGATCTTTGCACATCTGCTGTGCTCATGACGGGTGCCCACCATTTGTTGATTTTTATTTTTAATTATGGAGAGCGCACTAGGAGGGTATGGAAAACAGAAAGGTGGTTGGGAACATACAAAACTGCCTGGAGGTCAGGAACAGGATCAAGAAGATCTGGCTGTTGGAGCATCAAAGACATAAAAAAAAGAGGCTCCACTTGCGGCTAAAATCCCTCTTGGGGAGACTGGCCCTTCAAGTTCACATGATACTTTTATGCCAATTGTTTCAGCTACAAAACCAACCTACCGCCCCCCATATTCCAGCCACAGCAGATGTCTTGTTATTCTTATCTGTGATTGAAATGCTAAAAATACACTGCTTTCCCGTGCAGCATGTTTACTAAGCGTTAACAGCCACCGCGATCTACTGCTTTCCAAATTACATCACATTTAAACACAAAGGAAATGTGGCAATTATCCAACCTGTGATGTATTATTCAGAGCTCAAGCACTCATTTTGGACATGTGCATAACATTTAACTATTCTTAGCTTTAATTAACTGAAGGTGTCCGGGAGGGTTTGTAATACGTAATAATGCTTCACTCCAGCAGATTGTTTTGAATGGAAAATTATGACGGTGGTGCACTCTAATGGTTTTGTTTATATTGCCAGATGCAGGAAGTGTTCAGTAATGAAACAGAACAGCGGCTCACCTAATACTCTCTGAGCGGCATTTGCATCGAGGAAGTTCAGAGGTTCATCTCCTTCCCCTTCCTTCAGCCAGGCTCTGCTCATCTGCCGCACCTGCTTCTTCTGCTGTTTGGTCTGCTGCTTCGTTTGCTTCTCATCCTCCTCTTCCTCCTCGTCTGTGTCCGCTAAAATGTCCTCAATGCTACAAATAAAGGAGGGCAGATCAGAGGCTTTGTTACCCTTACCCCATTAGTGTACACAGTCAATGGCAAAAGGCTTTTTTCTTAATAAGCCCTGTTCCTTATTAAGAAAAAAGCGGTCATGTCTATATTTCCCGACCAAAGAAAGACAGGGCAACATTAAAGTGAATCTGCTGCTTTACTCAGAGTGGGAAAAAAAAAAAAGTTGACTTTAATGCGCTAAACAAATTCACCATGTTATCTTTAATGTTCCAAAAAGGCTCCTACCCGTCTCCCTTGCGTTTTGTATCCTCATCCTCTTCCTCCGTATTAGAGGCTGCTTGCTTCAAGGTCTTTTGCTTCTTGTTTTTAGCCTCTGCTTTGCGAATATTGACTAGAACCTTGTGGTATTCCTCCGGTAACATGCTCTTTACCAGGTCAAACCTAACAAAAGACCAAAACAGTAAGATCGACTTAATACACAAACATGTTAAATATAAACGGTAACCTTAAATTTGCATAACTATAAACACATTTTCAATCAATTTGTTTAAAGTTATGCAAATTTAAGGTTACCCAGCTGTCTAATATACTTTTGGAGCACTTTTCAAATGCATTTTAGATTGACTTTGGGTCTGGAGCACAGTCCATTAGACCCTGTTCTGAAAATTCTAGCTGACTGGCAGCTAAGCCAACTCTCCAGTGTTAATACGTGCTAGTCCTAGACCTGGAACAAGCACACGGATAACCTGGAACAAGCACATGGATAACCTGGAACAAGCATGCAGATCTGGAAAGTCAGTAAAAAGTCCTTATAGGCACATTGGAATTCCCTGGAGTAGACTGACAAGCAGAACAGCCAGACTAGTAGCTTTTTCACAATGAGAGGTGAGCAATGGCTGTCTGCATGTTTCTCTCAAATTGTTTTGCTTGTAAATTTCGTGGGCGGCCGCAAAGGAACTTGGGGTGGGCGCATGCGCAGTTCAGATGTTCGGCCGGGAGACGAGGAGAGACACAAGGTAAGTCTATGGAGCAGCGTGCACCTGCACAGACACCGTGGGACATGAGAGAAGAGGACAGAGGAGTCAGCGCTGATCGGAGTCAGCGCTGGATCGGAAACCCGCACCAGCGCTGGGGGGGGGAGACGACGACTTTAATGTCACTTTAAGTGATGTCATGAAAAGTCAGAGCAGATTCGGAGTTCCTTTACAGAAAAGTAACATGTATGGCAAATCTGACAGTGTAGGCCCTTACCACATACTATAACTAGCAATGTCTGGACCCTCCTGAACTCTCACTACTACCTGGTTCTGGAGAATAGGCAGGCACAACCTGTCTGCATCTCACAATACAATGTCAGGTGCCTTAGCAACCCATCATAAGCCCCAGGCACTAATATGGGTAAAAGACGAGACGTTGGGGGAACGTTAGCAGCAGCTATTCAATTAGCAACATTCCTAGTAGCAGCTTTGAGAGGAATTCAGGCGGAACTGTATTACCGCATAATACAAGTAGGTGTTAACTAGCTTTGCCATTCATATTTGCATATTTTAAAGATTTGCGGTGTATGGGGGTGTTTGGAATTTGGTTAATAAAGGACTGTCCTACACAACGGTTTCTATGAAATGTTCCCCTCATCATCTTACCCGAACTTCCGGATAAATTTGGTGAAGATGTTTCTCAGCTTCATGCGGAAGTGCCGCCTCATGTCCTCGTTGATGTTTCCAATAGCTTCAATCTACAAGTTTAAGAATAAATGCCTATTAAAGATCAGACACCAAAACCTATAGACCTGTATATTTATTAGGGATTCACCTAAGCGAGTACTCGCCCAAATGCTCCAATACCTTCCCTGATAACAGAACTTCCGGTCAGAGGAAATCTTCTGCTGACCGGCAGTACCAGCTTCCTGTGCCATCAGGAAGTTGAGCGGCGAGTTATAAACCGCCTCCCAGCTTCCTGATTGGCCAGGAAGCCGGCTCCATGCTGACTGGCCGGGAAGCCCGTTTCCTGACCAATCAGCATTGAGCCAGCCGAACAGCCGGCTCGATGCTGATTGGCTGGAAAGCCGGATCATTACTCGCCGCCTGGCTTCCTAATTAGCCAGGAACCCGGCTCAATGCCAATTGGCTGTGAAGCCGGGTTCCCAGCCAAGCTCAATCAAGCAGGTTAGACAACATGGAGCTAGCTTCTCGGGCAATCAGATTGCCTGGGAAGATGGCTCCATGGCAGCGGAAGCGCCGGTACTGACGAGTACCGAAAGCAAAGTATTGGTACTCATACTCGATACCGAAAAACCGGTATCAGTGCATCCCTAATATTACTGACATGCATCTGAACCAGTTGTGGAACAAATGAAGCCGAGAAGACCAAAACTTGATATTGAGGAAAAAAATAAATGTAAAAATACTGCTTACAAGTGAAAGCCTGCATATCCCAGCAATACATTATACAGCAATGCAGAATTATAGTAAATGAATTTACCACATACTCTGCGCCTGATGACTCAGGCGGAGTGTCTCAGGAAAGGGAGAGATGTGTGGGTCTGTGGACACACAGGCACAGTAAGGCAAGCCATTCCCCCTCCCCCTGCTTCTCCCTTCAACTTCCTCCCTCCTCTAAGTTAGTAGACAGCTGCTTGGAGACTGTTTTGTCTCTTTAGACTTTGTACTGGACGGGAAGCTTGGGCAAAAAAAAAAATATTAAAAAAATATTTTGTAGGGCAATGTATATTCGTCTGATTTGGATTCATTATTGGAAAAAAAAAGTTTGAGCGTTTAATAGTACTTTAACAATTACTTGCATGCTTATGTTAATGCAAGAGCAATACATCTATAGTCAGTAATTTAGACAGTGTGACATTTTGCAGAAGACGCTTACCATTTTTTGCAGATGTTTGGTGAGTACTTTCAGATCCATCATAAATATGACAACTTTAATAAATCCCAGGGCGGCTTTAACAATCTCCCGTGTTCTAGAACTCAACAAGAGACACACGTTCTCCAGAAGCTGCTCGATCACCTCTAATCCCATGTGGTCTGTCAAGAGGAAAAAAACTGTGTTTTACAAGAGGCAAGATTGAAGAAAATAGGTCACCAGCACTCCATAAGTTAAAATGAATGAGTCCTTTTAATGGACAATGATGTCACAGAAATCCAACATGAGCCGACGTTTCGGGGCCACACAGGGTCCCTTCTTCAAGGCAAGAGATGTGACAATGTAAGCACCATTTATTTGATTGTTGGCCGGGACTGCTGAAAGGTGTGCGGAGGGCACCTCCATCAATTACAAGAGGCACACTCCACTCAGAACATGAAAACTGCCATTTAAATGGAAGAAAAGGTAAGCAGAGTACCTGCTACGGAGCTAAATCATGTTCATTCACTTTCTGAAGATGGTTACCCTGTTAGGCCCCGTTCACATTGAGCGATTTATCGTGCGGTATCCAGCGATCGTACTATTATCGCAAGATGTGTGGAAGGCGTGCGACCGTTTCTACTGTACGGTTGCACGACTTATCTTAGGAACATGTTCGAAAACCCACCGAGAATCGTACGATTGTCGGCGGGTGTGTGGCATGTTCGTAGGATAAATGCCGCACGGGCCGGTGTGCGCATGTGCACACTGCCCGTTCAGCATTGCGGTCATCAATTATCGCAAGTACAATCTGCCTGTCCAAGATAGGCAGATCGTACGTTTTTTTAATTACCTTACAACCATCGCAAGACAAAAGTCTTGCGATGGTTGTAAGGTGTATGGCCACCTTTACTCTCAAAATGCCCCTCACACGGATACTGTTATACAACTGGAAGACAACCTTGGCAGCCATTGTGAAACTACAAGTGCCATGAGACATTGCAAGGTAGGACTCTCTCTCATATACATACACACATATATATATATTATATATATTTATTAATTAATTGCACACACAAAAACATTTTTTAAGCTATTTGACTTAAGTTCAGTTTTAATAAAGACAACAAAATAACTAGGCCGCAGCAAAGCAAGGCCTTGAAATTATATAAATGAAATGAAATAATTCAATACCACACAACTCCCAATACACTCCTCATGAAACCCCCTGTAAGGAACCTGTGCAGTCTAAAATCCTCTGAGTAATCAGGCCAGATCAGCAGAGAAAGGACGCAGCACACTTAGCTCCATTAAAGAGTCTCCAACTTTATTCACATCATATGGGAACACATAAAAGCTATCTTGCCTAAGGGGGACAACATTGCTTTCATGTGCTCCCATAAGATAAAGATGAAGACGCTTGCTTTACTCGAAGCCCACTGTGCAGTGCTTCTTCTCTGCAGATCAGACATTCACCTTAGCAGTTTATTACATTTCTCTTCATGAGCACAGGGATAAAAAGCATACAAGAGTATCCCAAAACCACCCTGAAGGCTATATAACAGGTACCCCTACCTTTGAATTCGAACAGTAAGCGAGTCAAGGTTAGGACTGAACAGCTGATCATGGTCACAGAACCGGTGAGGCCAGCATAGACGATACTTAGGTAGTGCTCCATGGCTTCTGCAATAAGAATATGAAGGAGTTATGTGCTGGCACATTACAGTTACAAAGTACAGAACAGCAAGGTCATGGCAAAGTTACTTATAACAATTTGGCTTTTACTGTATTACAATGCAATCACACCCATCACATAAGAACCCGGCCCATGTTCTGCAATATCCGCTACATTGGCCAATCTGGGCAGGACAAATGATACAAAAAGGTATCAAAGCCTATCAAAGATTTCCCCTTAACTGCTGTGTGGTCTCCAGAAAAGAAAGTACAATGGCACTGCAATGTTATTACATCATACCGTGCCAGATAATGATTCAATTGTCCATTGTATGACTGTCATACCTTTAGGTATGCATGAGCCAAAAAACAAAAGTCAGCTCTCCAATGCATGCACATTTCCCCATGTTAGGTCTCTTTAAAACACTGCAGGCACTTAAATGTATGTGATTATCCTGCCAGAAACGCATTCAGATCATACCGTCCTGCAGACAGCCGACTACACTGCCTCTGCTGCACTGAAATCCGAAGCAGTGTTGTCAGATTCTTCTGGACAAGGACAGCACTCGCCCCATACAAGATGCCCTCTTCTGCTATTCTAGTGCAGCAGCGGCAGCGTGGTCAGCTCACTACAGGAAGTTAGGAGTTGGCTGCATTCATAGCGGATTCCCTGTGTACGTTTCCTATTAGTAACATGGGAAATATGCATGCATTGGATGGCTTTGCTGAATTATGTTTACGTAAGGTTTTTCTCACTTTTTTTCCTTTTTGGAGGAAACTAAACCATGCTTTATAGGTCCCCCCCCCCCTCTGGATCAACTGTGGGTAACTGTTGGCATAGGGTTCAGTTTTTTGAAAGTTTTTTTCTTTATTCTCTGTAGGTTGAACTCCATAGATGTGTCTTTTTTCAACCTAACTATGCAACACTGGCTGTCAGTCACTGCTCCCTGCTGGGATTCCCCTTCTCTGTTCCTTCAGCACTCATTGGAGGGACAGACAGGGGAGGGGGCGGACACGGCTGGCTCTGGCTCTAGAGAGGCAGAGCCAGCTGTCGATCAGGCAGCGGGGTGGATCCTGATAGTATTGTTGGGATCCCTCCTGACTACTGCGCAGATATGTGCCGTAAGCATATAGCAAACAGGAGTCCACTATATGCTGAATTTGGGTCACAGGAGTGACATTAGTAAATGTGCCCCTGTGAAGCTTGCAGGTTGGTGACATTAAATAGTAAAGCAAGGATGAGGAGTGCAGAGCAAGAACTTGAGCATTCGTCAACAAAAGTTCCCATATTTATATCCCTGCCCCACAATCCCATCAATGTGACTCCAGATGGTAGTGAGCACCGGGCAGAGGGTTAACCACTGCCACACTTTATCTACAAAGTGGAAATTTGTCCTGGGTGGACCAGCGATTTAAGAGGAAAATTTTATTAAGCCGAAATAGAAAAAAAACACAAGAGTAGCATATGGCTGGGACAAACTAGAACACACAATACACCACCTTTTGGGTTTTGGATGAAGCGCAGGAAAGCGTGTCCAATGTCTGCCAACAGGGTATATGCGTTCTTCCTCGCTCCCACCGACACTTCTTTAGTGCAAATCATCACCTTCAAACAACACATAATTCACTCACAAAAATCACATTTCCAGCACTACGTTTAATCCTCCATCTGCTTCTGCTACTCTAATACCAAACAGCTGGACCTCATTCATGCGGTTTTAACTTCTGAGCGGACAAAGGTCAATCTTTATGCAGGTGGACAATACAATAGCTGAAGCCTGCAATTACGGCTCTTGTTCCTGAGAGAATGGCCTGCTAATGGTGGCAGCTAATACAAATAGAATTGTGCTCTGTTTTACAATGCTAAAGCAGAAATTCACATAAAACTTTTTCTTTTCCAAGTGTTGGAAAGAGTGGGGGAAGAGTTAGAACCTCACTCAGTTTGCTATATGTGTCCCTATTGGAGAAATGTACCCTTACTTCCTCTGTGGTTATCTGCCCCAGGAAGGGAGGGGAAATCCCCACTGCTGCAGCATGTGTCCAGTGAAAGGACTGTTGTTTTTGATCCAGTTGTTGCAACTGATAGTTGAATCAGTCCCATAGTTTGCAATTACTACACCATGCTTGCTGATGCTTTTCAAGACAACAGCAGTAAAAAAACATTCACACAATTAAAGTGAATGTCTGGGGGAAAAAAAAAAAAAAATTTAGATCCCTACAATACATGTAAAATATATTTCCCCAAGTTTTGTCTTTTAAGACACAGCAAGTACAGTTAAAAAAAAAAGAAAAAAACTGCTCATCCTGCCAGAAATACAGCAAGTTCCTAACTTCCTGTGGTGCTTCCGCTGCGCTGAAATCCCAAGCAGTGTTGTGAGCCCTGCCAGATTTCTCTCCTAGTACACTGCAGAATGCCTCCCTCTCTCTCCATTACAAGGGGAGAACTTACATAGGGCTGATAACACTGCTTGGGATTTCAGTGCAGCAGAGTTGTCAGCTCAATATAGAAAGTTCATAGCTGACTGGATTTCTGGTCAGAGAAACATGTATTTTTCTGTACCTGCGAGTTTTTAAAGAGACAAAACATAGGAAAATATTTGTACACCTATTGAAGAAATAGACTGCAATTTCCTTTCTTTCCTGCCCAGACATGACCTTTTCAAGAAGTTCACTTTATTGCAAAATGTGAAAAAATGAATTTACTGACAGCACCCCCGGCCCCCGCTGCACTAACATGTCTAAAGTCCCCACCAGCCAGTGTAGCAGTCCGTACACCATATTTCTCAGCTCCGCCGTATGGAATGCTCATAAGGGCCAGCACTCATTGGTCAGTAGTCTCATCGGTGACCAATGAGAAGTGCTTCTTACTTCTGGAACCTGGTCCCTGGCTCAAAAGCACTTCTCATTGGTCAGCTAAATGATGCACAAAGAAGTTCCATTTTTGAATAGTTAAAAAGGTACTTGAATGCATTTTTCGAGATATAACTCCTGAGTTCAGTGTCACTTTAAAACCAATAAAAGTTACTGTGTATGCATTTTTGGTGCAGAAAAAAAAGAAGCACCGTTCTGGAGATGGCGTGAACAAGCCCTTAAAGGTCCAAGTACAGCAGAGGATAGTGTTCCACAAGAAAAAGACCCCGTGTAATATGGAAATCCGCGTATTATACATGAATTTTGAAGAATCAGCTGACATTTAGATCAGCTGAACGGTATCGAAGTCCCTTGTTTTTACCCACTGACAAAGGGCTGCAAGTCTTACCTCTGGAATAATAGACGTTATGAACTCTTCATGGTCAGCATTAAGGAACTTGACAATGTGGGTAAGGCACTTCAAACGAGGCTACAATGACAATAGGAGAAGAAAAATTAACTTTCCTTGCACAGAGTGTGCCACTTGTGTGAGTCTATTAAGCATGCAGGAGCATAATGCTGCAAATATAAAAGGCTAGCATGTCTCGGTCACAAGAATTAAATGTTGAAAGCCAAGAACTCATTATTGTACAAATGATCAACTATTTAAAAAACATCCAAGGGATTTAGAGTGAACATTTTCTTCCCCAAAAAACATCAAATATCAGCCTGAATACCATGACACCATCAAAGAGGCTTCATGTGAGCATCTTCCCAGGAACCCTCTGATCCTGCGGCAGTCTAATATGCAAATCACCTCTTTTGCTGAGATTGTGTAAGCTGGCTCGCTCCCTTGCCACCTACAGCAAGCCCCTACGGGCTGCTGAAGGGAAGGGAACACAGGAGGCGGATTGCAGGGAAAGGAAGACCCAAAACAAGGTAATTTTTTTTATTAATGTACTTTCGCTGTCCTCAGGATTTTTAGAAAGTTGATTTGCATGTCCAGGTTTCCTTCAGTATAATAAACTCCTTTTAGTAGTTTGTAAAAAAAGAGTATAAGTCTGCATACACCATCTCACTCACCCGTTTGGCTGGAGAAGAAGCACTTTTCAGGGAACCCAGCAGAGTTTTCTTCAGCTCCTCCAAGTTCTTTCTAACAAAGTCTCCACAAGGAGGCCTCTCCCCTCCACAGATCTCCTCCAGCACTCTGTAGGCCTTTTTCTGCAAGCTGTGATTTTTATCCTGGGCAGAATAAAAGAGAATACAACATAAAAGCGCATAATAAAACGGGTCTCGTCGCTACATATAAAAGTAAAAACCAATAAAATTGTAGAGATGGCAGCTACTTCACTGGGGAATTCCAGGTTACAGAGCCTTTTCAGAACTTGTCACAACTGGTACATATATCCTAGTTGTCAGCTGAAAAACATTTCTTGCATCCATACTTATAAAGGACTAAAAGTTAAATATGAATCCATCAATTCTCACAGACTACAGTCTGAGGTGGAAAAGTCGGTTACGTTAAAGACTCCATTTTGTTTCACAACTTTTAATCAAAAATCTCATTAGTGACATTCTACATCAGTTTTGTTCGTTTAAAAGTTTTGCGTAACTTTCTCTTTTTTTGTAACATTTGTGAGCTGGTAAAGTGACCATAGTTCCTTAAAATCATTGACTAAGGTCTCTTTCAAAATAGGTACCAAATTATACCATTTTTAGGAGTCACCTTGCGGTTACAATTTACTCTTTCATCGCTGTGATAGTCGAATATTATAGGATGATTTGTATTTTCCGCGCCGGCGCAGTGTGGGATGTCACTGGGATGCATCTCACCAATTATGCTACTGTGGATTTGAAAACTCATGTAGCCTATTGTAATGGTGCAGAATTTTATTTTGATATTCTGACCAATAAGTATTGAATAAACCCACTATATAACGAGATACAAATCTCTGTTCCTGGTTTCGACGAGCTCTGGTATATCTGTCAGGACGAGTCATTTTTTTAACCTCTTGCCGTCCGCCCGTAGTAGAAAAACGGACGGACGGCACTGCTGCATTGGCGGGTTGCCGTCGCCAGACGGCATTTTTTTCTGCTCGCGCGCCCCCTAGCGGGCACGCACGGGCAGAAAAGACCCGTCCAATGCGAACACCCGGTACCGGGTGTTTCACATATAGGCGATCAGCGGGTCCATAGCCCGCCGATCACCTATATGTGCTCGTTTGCGTCACCCCAACCTTTTGATTTTTCCTTAATATAGTAAAAAATAAAACCCCCAGTGGTGAATAAATACCACCAAAAGAAAGCTCTATCTGTCCCCAAAAAAGGGTATAAAATTCATTTCAGTACAGTGCTGCATGACGGAATAAATGTCAGTCAAAGTACCGCAGCGCTGAATACTGAAAAATGGCCTGGATGGGAAGGGGGTTTAACACCGCGGATGTCAACTGGTTAAAAGAAGGTAACACTCAGTCTGTCAGGAATGTAGCAGCCAAGTACAGGGTCTTTACTAACCATATCACAAAAACCTTGATCCTTCAGTAATTGCTGCACTAGCTTACTATCCCTTTGATGGGTACCTGTACCCTTGTCCAAACCCCTCAACAGCCATCTTCAACCAAAAGCAGGTAGGGTTTATCTTTGGGTTTAAGGAACCAACAGGCTGCAAAGCCTAGAGCATTCCATTATGCAAATCCTGGCTTCAGTGCTTGGTCCTGCACCCTCCCCACCTTTCAAGCCTTCCTAAGGGGCCATCACTATGATGGGCAGCTTTAATGAGCAGTGGGTAGGTTCAAGGGTTGGGTGAACACCGATGACAAAGGGGAAGTTTACATTTACATAACGGATTTTTGAAGCCTGGGGACATTGCTAAAGCTATCAACACCTTTTTGGAGGAAAAGTGGTTGCTCCTAGTCTACAAATAGTGTACTCCTGTCATCCTCCCTTGTTGCCCACTACCAAGTGTACTCTGGAATGTTCTCTCGGCCCACAGGGGTGTGGAATTCCTATCGCCTGACGCCGGGGCGTGCAGTTCCGGACGAGTTGTTTTTTTTTCTATATTTAGGCTGATTTAGAGAGGACCATACAGGTATTTAGACATGAATATATGGACCTGTATTTTAATGTTAAATGTTCATGTGATTTCAGAACACCTATCCATCTTTGTGGCAAAAAGTATACATTATACAGTGATTTTGTTGCAGTGACCTTGTAGTATGAACATTTGTATACCGCAACATATGTCAAGAGGTTCAAAAATAAATTGGACCCCTCCTAAAAGATAAAAAAGAAAGCCTGCAAAAATCGAGCTCAACATCAATTTACTCACTCGTATATCAGTTACTTCTCTTTTCACTATTAAATGTTAATAGGGATATCAATGATTGACTTAGACAACATTAATATGGAAAAAACCCAAGGTTGGGTGAATGACGTGTTATTAATCAGGTACATGATGTAGCACTTATGTCACCTACCTCCAGATATGGCAGAATAGTCTGATAGACCTTGGTCATTGATGGTTCATCAGCGTAGGGAGCCATAGCTACAATGAGATCCAGCACGGAAAGTCTAAAGAGAGAATAAGAGATGTTTGCTTCTATTAGGACAATAGAAATGTTGACTAAAGAGCCTTCATAGCCCTGCGAGCCAGCCGAAAGTGGTTGTGTGGGAGTAAGCATCCACGCTCTATGATACAAGCTGCTACACTAGACAATACCGGTACTGAAAGTCTGCTCTTAATTCATTCAACATTATCTAAAGGAATAACAGGTCTGACTCCAACTCTATTAAGTACATATCTGGGGAATGAAAAAACACTTCCCTGGCTGAACTCTATCACCTCACAGAGAAAGTTTTTTTTTTTTTAAACAACAAAAACGATATATCTTCCTGTACAACAAAATAGCACGATAATAATAATGCGTGCACTGTCATTAGAAGAGAAAAATATACAACATACGAAAAAGAATTTAAACCCAATTCCACCCAAAACCTTTTATTTAGGGTGGAGAAGAGTTATTATTGCAGTGTCCCTAGATTTCCCTTTACTTCCCGTTAGAAGAAGGAATGGCAGAACTTCTCTCCTGGCACACAGACAAAAGCACATTTTCAGTAGCACGAGGAGGGGTTAGAACCTCTAACAATGTTTTTGTTCAGGTGACACGCCACATTCCATTTCTTGTATAGGTGTCACAGGAACAAGAAAGCAAGGATAAATCCCCATGAGTGGTGTCACAGAAAGACAAGTATCCAAATATTTCACCTTTCCTTCCTTTATCCTAAACTGAAAACATTTTGCTTGCGTTAAGCTTTGACACCGAGTGTGGACAGACATAAAAAGGCAGCCATTTAAGCCAGTTATGGATTCATTAAAAAACAATACTAAAATTTAGATTTAAATAGCACCTCAGGCTTCATGCTAGGAGAGGAAGGGGCAGCACTGTATGATAATCAGTGATATGAATCTAAGAAATGACATCTGATAACTGGAGAATACAGATATCACTTCATCTGTCATCTAACCGCAGTCATGGACGAAGTATATTGCTTTGGCTAAAGGAACAGAAATGGTCAAGCATTGTGTAAGTGTCCAGACAGTATTACAAAATGTATTTCAACTGCGTACCAACCTATTTTCCTACACTTGGGTAAATATTATATAAATATTGTATTACTAGGCAGTGCGAGTATTGCAGAGCACTATAAGTATTGCTTGGAACTGTAGTATTGGGCATCAGGGCTGCGACAACTAATCAACTAAGTTGATTATAATCGATAATGGAAAATGTTATCAACTTGGTACAATCACGTCAGGATGAGGACGAGTATGTACATCTGTTGGTCTTGAAGTGGTTAATATACTTCGCTTAGCATTGAAAAATCAGATATACGATGCTCTTGTAAATGTGCACATTATTACCTGTAACTAAATATTTTATAACAAAAATACTATAAACCATTTATCATCATTTCTCTGGCTGTGATATCTGAACGTTTTGAAGCATGCCAAAGATCATGGTTCTCATCTACTGTTCAGCAGTCACGTTTTCTCCCCCAATGCACAGGATGTGTTTATATCGATCAATTGTTCGGCTCAATCTTATCAGCATCAAAAGGCGGCATTGGAGGCAATGAAGTAAAAAAACGTGTGGACACAAAAGGTAAGCGTGTATGGATTTGCAGCTTTATACAAAATACCCAAGAGACACAGAGCCCCAACAACATTCAACCGTGATACTCCAACCTCCAAGAAGAATTTAGAGAGCATCAACACACTGCAAATCACACAAAGCATAATGATTAATCGAACTTAATAATCTGCTAACTAATCGATTATGAAAATAATCGTTAGCTGCAGCCCTAATAAATATTAATTACATGAAATGAATCTATAAACAAGGATACATTCTCCAGCAAGTGTCTGCATCAGGGCTCAAAATGTCAAGTCCTGATCTACTAGCCAGGCCTTAAAGGTTACTCACCACCATTTTCCCCACCTAATCCCTACCCTGCCCCGACCTTAAGTCCGCACCTAAACACTCCCTCCTAAATTATCTTATGAAATTACACTGTTATATGTTTTATTTCAGAATAAAGTTACAAAAATAGATATTAACAACTATTACAATATTACCATATAACAATGTAAATATAAAGCAAATGTTATCCAAAAATGCAGAATGGCACTGGTTATAGAGGACTACAACTGCCAGCTAAACGTTATACAGAAATGCAGAATGATCACGTCTATAGACGACTACAACTCTCAGCTACACTTTATACACAAAAACCTAATCACCAAATAAAAAAACAGTAAAGAACTGCCCCCAACTTCCTATGACATCAGTATGATGTCACATTCCCACCAGATAATTCAAATAATAAGCATAAACAATCATGAAAGGGAACGTTTTTCAACTATCCAAAAGAATAGACTGGAGTACCTGCTTGCAGAGCTCAAATTACACCCATGACCCTTTGCAGATCGGTCTCCCCCTCCTGAGAAATAGTGTGCAGAACAAAGCAAAAATCACAGCACCCGGCCTTTAGTTCAGGGTGACTTGTGCTGCCATGGGAACAGGGACGCCTATAGCTAGACTGGCCACTACGTTCCAGCTCATGGTACCGCTGCTTGCACATGCGCAGTAGAGAGCACGGTCCAGCTCATGGTCTCGCTGCTTGCACATGCGCAGTAGAGAGCACGTTCCAGCTCATGGTCCCGCTGTAGGGACGCCTATAGCTAGACTGGCCACTACGTTCCAGCTCATGGTACCGCTGCTTGCACATGCGCAGTAGAGAGCACGGTCCAGCTCATGGTCTCGCTGCTTGCACATGCGCAGTAGAGAGCACGTTCCAGCTCATGGTCCCGCTGCTTGCACATGCGCAGTAGAGAGCACGTTCCAGCTCATGGTCTCGCTGCTTGCACATGCGCAGTAGGGAGCGGGTATCTATAGTGAAGGGGACGCTGGCTTATACTATACAGACACGTCTCCTGTCACCTGTCTAAACAAAGACACGATCGCCGGAGCCGATCGTGGGAGGACAAAGCGGGAGGAAGCTGAAAGTGCAGGATAGAGGAGAGCCACATGCGAGCAGGCGAGTGGAAATTTTGAGCCCTTGGTCTACATGATAACTTCATAAACATAACAAAGATACACTGATATGGTCACCTGGGCTGTCACCAGTGAGGGCTAGGTGACAGTACCTCCTGATAGCTGTCGCCCCCTCCCCTCACAGGGTAAACTCACCAAAGCACAGTGTTGGAGATCTCAGGTGGAGGACATAACACTGGAACACTATGTTTCTCTATTGTCCACTGTGGGAAACAACTCTGATGAATTCTGTAAGGCTATTACTGCTGCCTTCCGGAGAAATGGACACCAAGCAAAAAATGAAAAGCCTGTCACTTTAAAGGACATAAACCCTCCTACCTCACACCTGCCAGTTTCGCTTAGTGTCCTCAGGAGAATGGAGGTCTCCTTCTCTCATGGTTCACACTTTTAGTTTCATCAATTTGCGGGTCTTCCTTTTGGCTCCAAAGGTTTTAACAAAAGTTCTTGCTCCGGTTCTGGGATATTTTTTTTCGTTGCAAGGGAATTACCATTATAGGATACTTCCTACTCTGGAGCTCAATGTGCAGGTGGAACTGGGGACTTTGGGTGGATTCTGAACATCAAGAATCCCTAGTTCTATCACATTGCTTGTTGTATTTGGGTCTTCTGTTGGATACCCTTCAAGCAAAAGTGTTCCTTCCTCAGAACAAAATATTGAAGTTGCGGGATCAAGTTTAGTCGCTTCAATCATGTCGCCGTTCCTCTCTGAGAACCTGCATGAACAGGCCAGGACTGATGGTGTCAACCAATGAATCAGTACCTTTTTCTCAGTTCTATTCCAGGACTTTACAAAGGAGCATTCTTACAATTCTTCTTTATCTTTGGACAAGATGTTCAGATTGGGAGCTCCCAACTCGGATGTTTCTGTTGTGGTAGTTGACATTCCCTGCGTGGACAATGCGAAAGTCATTTCTTCCCATAATTTAGAAGATTGTCACGATGGATACCAGTCTTGTGGGATGTGGGGGTCTCTTTGATCATCAACAAGGTTGTTGGTCTCCAGAGGAATCCAGTTAGTACTTTGTGGGCATTTCAGAATCAATCTTCTGCTACTCAAACTGCAAGGCCAGAACTTGGTCTTCTTGTGACTGTTTTGGACTGCTTTTGAATGTTCTTACATCTCAGAATTCTTCAGAGCTGTCTCCCTTAACCCCTTCGTGACGGGAGACGTACACTGTACGTCCAGCCACAAAGGGACCAAATGACTCGTCACGTACACTGTACGTGACGAGTTATTTGCTGCACTAGAAGGCTGCTAACCGCTGAGAATCAGCGGTTACCTTTCAGTAATAGATGTCTAACTATCTAGAGATCCATTACTGAAAGGGTTAACCTTTTTCAGACACCCGATACCTTAATATCGGGTGTCTGAGAGTCACAGCAAAGCAGACACACATGTCGGCTTTTGCCTGCATTCTGACAGCTCGTATAGATCGAGAGATATCTCTCTCAAGCTATACTGGCTTTTTTTTTTTTTTTATCTTTTGAATTTCAAGAATAGATACAAAATGTTATGTATTAGACACATAATGTATCTATTCTTGAAAGTAGAATGTTTAAGTTTTCTGAAACATTCACTGACAGCTGAATCCTGAACTGCTGCAGGATCAGTGTCACTAACTTATTATCGGCTGTTCTGAAGTTTGAAGCAGCCTGATAATAAAAAAAAATGTATTCATTTATCAAGCAGTAATAGTGAGATTAATTCACAATGACTGCCTGATATAATTAAATAAATAAAATTTGTCAGTATAAAAAAAGTGAAAAGTGCAAATAAATTTAAAAAAATAGTGAAGTGTAAAAAAAATTAAAAATAAGGGACAAATAAATGAATGTATGTATTGCATTTTTTTTTAGCTGTGCTGGTTTTGTTAAAAAAAAATACTACAAATCAAAACTGGGAAAAAAAGTTTTTTTTTACGTTTTTTCCTCTTTTTTTAATTTGTATTTGTGCTAAGTGAGGCGTTAGACACACATATGTGATATAAATATATAGCCCTATCTGTCCTCTAAAAAACAATATATAATATGTGTGGGTGCACTTTGTAAGAAAGTATATTACTGACGTGGAAGAATCACACAGCAAAAATGTCAAAAGTGTGTCAGTCATTTACGAACAGAAACCAAAAACAAGCTCAGCCATGAAGGGGTTAATGTACAATAGACAATATTGGATTTTGTTCATAATGTAAAATCTTTTGGGGGGACTCTGCTCCCTTCCCTCATTTCCTTTCATACTGGTTGCTACAAGTGGCACGTGTGAGAAGTTATGTCCTTAAAGTGCAGGCATTTTAATTTTTTTTTGTCCAGTGTCCATTTCTCCTGGAAACTGCAGCATAACCCTACGTCTCAGAATTCTTCAGAGCTGTGTCCCATAAAGGACTCCGGAAAAAGCATTTTACGGCAAAAACAAAATCCTAAATTTAACACAAACCAAATGGCCTCACGCAAATTCTAAGTAGAATATTATTTAAAGGATGTAGACCATTGAAGTGCAATATATGCTCAGAAATAAATGAGAAAAAACATTGCTTTATCCTACACCTTATGGTTTACAATGCCAGACAAGGTATAGTCAACATATTCAAACTCTTTCCTAAAATGCTATAGTCATTTTTGCAATGGAGAAAACATCAATACTCACTTCACAGACTCTACACTCTCGGGCTCCGTTAGCTTCACGCTCGCCTTCTCCAAGAAGCTACTGACCATCTAGAAACATGACCAAATAATTCATTAGTGGATGGAGCATGATCTTATAATCATCAATTAGCAGCAATATGGAGAATGACAAATAACGTCTTTTTTTTTTTAAATGCATATTAATTAGAAGCAGTATATTATTAAATGAGCAGCTAGATAAATTCTTACTTAAATCAGTTCAGTTCAAATCCTTGCAGTGGGGACAATAGTCCAGCTCAAGTTTAATACTCAACACTTGTCATCACCCTCTATCTACCTTATGCTGACAACTTATACAAAGCAATGCATTGTTTAGCATACATTGAATTGTTGAAAATATATTAAAATTGAAAACCACACACATGGTGCAAGCCAGACCAAGCCTAAAATATGTAGATGCGAGCACTGCCACAAAATCCTGCCAAACAACAGTACTTCCTATTGCAGCCAAATCATGCTAAATAACCTGGAGATTAGCAGCAGCTTCGTCAGCCTGGCATGTGCTCCTTCAGTTGGCCATGGGGCTGTCTATCAGATAGGCAGGCTAACAGCTAATTGAAGGAGCCGGCAATATTAAGTATGCTAACTGGCAGGATCTTCGGGTAAGAACATTTTTATCTGACTCGCAAAAAAAGGATTTGCTTAAGAAAACTGTATACAGCGAGGCAGGATGCCAAACATACTGAAAAATAAATTTTAGGTTTAAATACACTTTAAATAAATCTCTAATATGTCACACTTACTTGCTGGTCTGTGATGGTCAGATAGGCACGCACTGTATCCAGCACCGGAAGCTTGTGAGCAGCGCTCTCTCCTGGTACTGGGGCCTGACTGTACACATTGAACAGTATAGGAAGAAAGTTCTTGGCAAACCTGCTCACTTCAGCTTTATCTGACTCTGCAGAGAGAAACAAAAATAGATTTATGCACATAGAACCTGAAGAGATGAAAAGGAGCAGACCGGGGCTTTCATGATTGAAGCAGTGAGGTCATATCATTTTGCCTACATCACTAACATTCTGCCTTGTGTACAGAGCTGGAAAGTAAAAACTCCACACTTACTACAGCCGACACCATAATCCCACACGTCACACGATACTATGCTTTGCAACAGGTGCTGAACACACACACAAAAAAACACTTTGTTTTGGCTGGAGTGGCACTTAAAAAAAGTACCTGTTCCAACTTACATACAAATTCAACTTAAGAACAAACCTGCAGTCCCTATCTTGTTTGTAACCCGGGGACTGTCTGTACTGTACCTTTGTCATTTTACAACTCAAGTCTGTGACATTCAAATATCGGTTCATTACAAAGATACAAAATTCAGAATAATTACTTTTTTTCTCGTTTGGGATAGCATAGAGAAGGACTCACCGCCTGTAAAGTGTGTTTTGCTGTGTGTGCCCCTGTTCAGAAGATTTCACCTCACTTTCTGTCTCTTTGACAATTGGATTTTAAAAATTATGGGTTTAGCTTCAGTGGAGACACTTTTTTCAGTGGAGACACTTACAGGTGTGAATTTCTCTTCCTAGATTTCCTCTCACTTCCTGTTGTCTCAAGGACAGGAAGTGAGATTAATTCTTTCTAATGAGGATACAGACAGCAGTAAAAACCTCACAGTGACCCGGAAGAAGAGGCGGGCAGCTCTCATCTGCACGTCTAACAAGAGCCAACTTCCTGTAATGTACGTACAAGTACTACGAACCAGACCCAAAAAGGCGGGCACTCATCGGCACGAGCGCCATAATTACAACTACCAACGCTGTACAGTAAAATAGCCTCCGTTTGTAAGTAGGAGTCGTATGTAAGAAATGTTATATTTATTGCATGCCTGACAACACCATACGACGGGCCTCGTAATTGACAGTATTTGCAAGATACAGCCACCAATGCACTTCTACACAAACAGAGGGTTCATTTTTAAACTTGTGCACATCACATATGCTGCATCCAAAAAAAAAAAAAAACAAGCAGTTTCCTAAGCTGCAAAATGTATATAACTGCACAATACATACTTAGCAAAGAAAACAAAATATAAGAAAAAAAGCACAAAAAACACTACGTGATACATTTACACTTTTTCACACAGCAATCGGGACTGAAACATTTTCCTAATTGGATTCCACTGGAAAAGTGTGCGACTCTTGGTGAAAATTGGACAAATCTTGCATGAAAACATTAATAGACCCCTTTGTCAGGTTTTCAGGACGTGTTTATAAAAAAAAATATCCCTGGACTGTAAAGCTATTTAACCAGTTGCTGACCGGGGTGAATTTTATACCATTTTTGGGGGGACAGATAGAGCTTTGTTTTGGTGGTATTTTTTTTTTATTTTTTTTACTATATTGTGAAAAAAGAACCAAACATTTTTGGAAACCAAATAAAAAACAGTTTTCCCTACATTATGTTACAAAAAATTTTTGGTTACATATAAAAGACGGGGTCATGTCGGCAAAATAGACACCAAACATGTCAAGCGTTTTCGCACGTAGGAGCCGGGTGCATATTTATGTTTATGAGTGCATGCACGTGGGGGACTTTTTTTGGTGTTATTAATTTAATGTGGGAATTTAATTTATTTTTTAACTCTTTTTTGTTTTGTTTACACAACTTGATTGCTATCACATAGGGGGGCTAGAAAACAATGACAGGATCACGGTAATACAAGTGATCGGCCAGCAGTAGAGCCGGCCGAACGCTTGTATATAACAGCCGGTAACGGCGGGGTCCGGTTAGTGGGCGCAACCAGGAAGTAAATCACGTAATTGTACGTCCACCTGCCGGGAAGCATCTGCCGTCTGCCCATAATATTACAATGGGGTTAATGGGCTTGATTCACAGGCTGAGCATCTCTGCTGCAAACATTACACTTCATAAAATTACATGTATGAATTACAAGACCGTCCCAAATGTAAATTTCATGAAAAAAACTGGCTCCTCCTACCTGTTTCACATCCCTTGCTGATGAGTGTGCGCAAAGCCTGACACACAGTAAGCCGAAGGTCTGGCCGGTCACTAATAGCCATTCCCAAAATTCGAGCAATTCCTTTGAAGGAAACCGCTACATCAGTGGGCTTGGTGCAGAATCCAGGCAGCATCGTCCAGATCTAGGAAATAATATATGTAACAAAACATTACTTCTTTATTGTGCGTTATATGGCCAAACATATGTGGACACCCCTTCAATTTATCGCGTTCAGATTCACAAAGGTGGGTCCATAAAGACATGGTTAGGTGAGTTTGGCGGGGATGAACTCTGACCTCAACCCTACTTAATACCTTTGGGATGATATAAAATGCCAATTGGAGCCAAGTCTTCTCATCCAACATTAGTAGCTGACCTCACAAATGTTCATTTAGCTGAATGGGTACAAATTCCCCACAGACACATTTGTAAATCTCGTAGAAGAATGGAGGCTGTTATAGTCAGAAGAAGGAAACAGGTTTTGAACACCATATTATTATTGGATTTGGAATGGGATGTTTAAGGCCTGTTTCACACCAGATGCAGTGTGTTCCGGCCCGATTCTGGCCAGAACGCACTGCTTCCCATATTGGCTGGCTCACTATTTAGTGGGGCAGGAGGGGGCGTGGCGGTCCATTGAAATGAATGGCACCGTAGCTACGCCCTCCAGCCGCACAGGATCGTAAGGCACATTATGCCGGCGGTCCGGTGCGATCAAAATATTTTGAGCGGGCCGGACCGCAGGCATACTGTGCCTTGCAATCCCGTGCAGCTGATCGCATTATGGTCGGAGGGCGTGGCTATGGTGCCATTCACTTCAATGGACTGCCACATCCCTTCCTGCCCCACAAAAAAGTGAGCCGACCGCATTGCGAGGCAGTGCGTTCTGGCCAGAATCGGGCCTGAACGCATCGGCATCTGGTGTGAACGAGGCCTTACAAGCTCATATGGGTGTGAAGTCAACTAACTTTTGGCCATACAGTGTGTGTAATCATCACTTCAATTATATAAACACTGGAGGTATCACTTACCTGCCACTGAAGAGTCTCATAGATTTTTGCCTCAAGGTTTCTTCCTGCTTTAGCCAGCTCACCAGCTGAAGATTAAAAAAAAAATATTATGTGTAAGTACAATTATCTTTAAAAAAAAAATGCAAACGTTTTTAAAGAACAACTTAATTTAATGTGCACAGATTTGAAGTACAAATGTTCACAAGACATAAGGTAACGTAAGGCCCCCAGTCGTTATGTGTTCTGAGGAATAACACGTTGGATAAGATGACTATGGACCTGGGCTTTAGCAATGAAACCCAAGGCCTCACTTTTGGAATGAGCATCTCTTTTAAAGTGTATTTTGTTTCTCGGGATAACGTAGGAAGGCTTACAGCCTCTGCAACATTGCTGTAACACATCTTCGTGACTATTGTCAATGGGACTGAAAATGACAAGAAATCTAACACTACAGTGGTCACCAGAACAAGGTAAACCCTTTTATGGGACATCTCTTTAAAGGATAAACTTTTTCACGTCCTGTGACTAAGGCACAACAGGAAGCAAGAAGAAATCTCTACAAAGAGGAATCCCAAGATAGGTAAAGAAGAATAGGGGCTTACCCCCGCCCCAAAAGGGATAAATGCCCGTTTGTGTCTAGGTGCAAAAAAAGATAAAAAAAAGTTACACGCATCAGACCATCCAAGTCGGCTTGTCCTTAGTCCAGTGTCTCGAGCATCTCTCCCCCTCTGCTACAGCGCTCTAAGGATCGTGGTGTTATCACACTATATACTGTGCATACATGGGAGGACACCAAAAAGCATTCCGTCTGTGCAGCGGAGGAGTAGACACGCTTCAGTGATCACAGAAGCAGGGAGTCAGCTCGAATGGTCTGGCGAGTATAACTTTTTTTTAGCACCTAGACAAGCACTTAACCCTTGCAATGCGGGGGTAGCTCCACTGAAAGGGAAAGTAACTTTTTTTACTGGAGTTCTTCTTTATCTAGGAGGAGGATACTTCTCACTTTATAGAGATTTCTTCTCACTTCCTGTTGTGCTTCAGTGACAGAAAGGGAAACAAATTTCTCCATTGGAACACATACTGACTATAGACTGCAGGGTTTTCATCCCTTTCCAACTCAATCCAAAATGGAATGGTAATACATAGGGGTTGATTTACTAACCTTATAAACACACCACGAACGTGTATACACCTCTGCAGTGTGTTCCCTCCCAGCATGATCTATGGGTGGAATCTAAACACCTTTGTAATGTGTACACACCCAGCAGGTGTGTTGTGCAAAGCCCTGAAGGAATTCCGAGGTGATGTTGGGTAAATTAGCGCTATGTTGTGTTGCTTGCGTTGATGAATGCAGGAATGTAAATGCATGAGCTAACCATTTTTGTCTAAACTGTGAAGCAGCATTATATATGCATCATGTGCATGATTTTTCCATATATGGCATTAGTGGAAATATGCTTTTAGAGACTTTTTGGTTGATAAATACGTTTTGCTGTGTGAAAATCACACACACCTTGTGTGTGTCTGTTTAGGTTAGTAAATCACCCCCATAGACTCAAGCTGGGATAACTGTTGGTAAAATTTCTTAGCAGCAACTACCTGTCTCTAAAGAAATCAATGCCAAGCCATATTCTTATGCTAAACAGCAAAGAGAAAAGCCATAACAGAAAACTGGGACGGCAGGAGGACAAAAAATAATTTACCATTTGAGTGCTCTGAATTCTAATGGTCTGGAACAATTCAATTGCAGAGTCTGAACTCACAATAAACAGAACAAAAGGTTTTTATACTGAAAATTCAATCATCGCCTGCACGAAATGAGAGCTCCGAGAGGTCAATCAATACAGCGGCCTATACATACGTAATTTAACTGGGAGCACAAATCTTCACTCCTTGAGGGAAACCAACACGTTCGCTGTACTCCCTGATCAACATTCAGATCTGGATGGCACAGCAGTTATAGGAAATCTACAACATAAAACATCCCTGTGAGGAGGTTCTTGTGAAGACTGCATTCCCTCATTCATAGACCCCATGCTTGTCACGGAGAGGTGACTCTGAATACTTCTCACTTCAGTGCCTTAGATATGATACACATTGCGAAGTTGTATTTCCTACCAGACAACATTCAGTTTGAAATTCCACCTAGTATGCAATCGACATGGAGTCTGTGTGTTCTATGTGTGCACATCAATGCCTGCATTCCGGGTCGGGTGCGATCAGAAAATATGCTGCATACACTATTTTTTCTGATCGCACCAGATCAGAATGCACTTCAATGCACCGACAAACCCCTCCCACACCAGAACGCAGTGAGCTGCCCAGGATGCGATCCAGTACGTTGTGGCATCAAATCGTGCCGTGGCGCACTGGGGCTGGTGCGAACTAGCCCTTAGGCTACATTTACATGGGGTGGATGGGGATTCCTGCAGCAAGAACCTATGAATTCTTGCGGCATGAATCCGAGGCGTGTTCGTACAGATGCGGTCTGATTGTCCAAGGACAATCTATCCAAAACCGCAGGTAATTGTTCCATGGACGATTACATGCAGACAGCCGCTGACAAATGGCCGCTGTCACCCCATCATTAACTTGAATGGGCACATTGGCTATATCTGTCCGGCTACACCTGGGATTCCTGCGGCAAGAATCGGTAGGTTCTTGCCACAGGACTCCCACCCGCACACTAAAGCCGGGTGTGAATGTGGCCTAACTCCCAGGTGAAGCCTCAGATAATCTCTGTAAATAGCGCAGAGCACTGGACATGCATGGGAAAAACTTTTTCACTCCTTGTGAGTCACACTGCCATCTCCAATGCAGCTGCATGACTTGTGCCATTTTAAGCCATGCAATCTACACAAAACAGTCAATCTTGCATTTGGTTTTTTGTCAAATCATTATTAAAACTTGGGTAAAGTAAGAGCCTGTGTGACTGTGGTGGGGACATTATACTGCTTGCTCCTCTAAAGCAAAGACTGATGTCAATGGTTCTATATGCTCTGTAAAAAATGCTGCACAATACATAATTCCTCTATAAATAGGGGAAATGGAAAAGGATTATTTGGATGGAGGATATACCTTGGTTCTTCAGCTTAGCTGCCAGCGGTAGGAAGTATCTGGTGAAGAATGCCAGCTCTGTGTTCTTCACATGATCACGGATCACAGGCACCAGCCAGCTGCGGGGAAAATCACACGTCTCCCTGACAGAAAAAAAGTGACACGACATTAGTTTACGTTAACAGACATTTTATTTCCATGTCTAGATGCAAGTGTCTACAATACACTCTGCAAATAGATTATTGTTCTATTCCAATACATGCTTTTGTTGAATATTTTATCAAAAAAGATAACCATCAGGGTAATGCAACCTAAAAGTAACACTAAAAGTGCAAACTAACAAGATGTAGGGAAAGATTTAAAAGGGTTGCCTTGACGCATGCTAAGTGCAATGCGGTTCCATTTTCAATGCCAACCCAATGCTCCTTGCCAGGGTACCACAATGCTTGTGCATTTTAGCACCCCTGTGTGCCTTCTTTAAGTCTATTCAATTATACATTGTGGTGTGTTGGCAGCCCATTGGAGCGAGCAAAATACAACAGAAAGTTTAATCGCTGCATTTGCATAGTGCTGTGCAGAATTTACAACAGCATTTAAGGAATTACTGCAAAACCAGTCCTAACAACTCTGCGAAATTGTGAATAACTGTACTTCTGGGACAGTTATAGCTCAAAAGCAGCCCCCCCCCCTCCCCCACCAAGCCCTTCACTTACCTGTAAACAATCCACAGAAATCTTCGATGCGGGTGCCTAAAGTCTCTTTATAGAAAGTCAACTTTGCGGTTTACACACACGCAATAGATTTCCTATTCATTCTTAAGGGAAGCCCATTACTTGTTAGCTTCAGCAATCGATGAGCTTCCCACAGGAGTGAAGGGGAAATCTACTGTGCATGTGTGGATCAGCTGGGAAACATCATGCTAAGAGGCTCTGCAGCACCCAGCAGCCACATGGCAAAGATCTCGGTGGGTTGTGGACAGGTAAGCAGAGGACTTGCTGTGGGGGGCGGAAGGGTATCTGCATCTTAAGGAAAACTGTGTAACAGTACAATTATCTTTTTAACATAACAGTGCAAAAAAAGTAAAAACTAAACCTTTTTTTTTCCCCAAAAAAAAACTTAGTGCACTTTGTAGTATTCTCTCTCTCTCCTCAAAGTGATCTCTGCATTCACAGACAGCCTTGGTGATGGCAACAAGGGTATGCACAATTACACAGGCTTCCTATAACACAAATCTATAAAACTTGGCTGGCCATCTGAATTAAATGCAACCTGCGCTGAGAGAAATAGGTCATGCACCACTGTGGATCTCGCTTTGAAAATGAAAGTTGTATTGACGTGGAACAAACATGCAACAAGTGAAGTCAGAACTCTTGATCTTGATACTTGTTTCAGGTACATAAATTATATGGCCAAAAATATGTGGACACCGCTTAAAATGATTGCATTCAAGTGCTTTTAGTGTGGTGTACTGTTAATGCTATTGCATTTAGACAATGGTTTGCATTGTCTAATGGAGGGCACTTGTTTTCCAACATGACTGCACCCTTGTGCACAAAGCCAGCTACATGATGATGATGCAAAACCAAGAATGGTGTATATGCTTACTCTGTGCCATCAATCTGCAGAGGGATGGCCTTCAGGACCACTTCTGGTCCCATGCTTTCCACAGCTGCCCCCACTGTGTGGTCCAGGTCTCCTGTGTGGGGGAAGTGAGGTGAGCCCCGGAGGTCAGCAAGAGTCTGCAAACACTGCAAAAAAAACAACACAAAAACTCAGTAACCAGTGAAGAACAACATGAAGTCCATCATCATACTGGAATCTTATTATATCAACTCACCTTCTTCATAAGAGGGTGACAGAAGTTCCCAGCAACCTGAAAGAAGGTCTGCAGGACTTGCAGAACATGGGACCAGGAAGAGTGGAACTTGTATGATAAACCATCTTCTACAAATCTGTTAAATTGCCAAAATAAAAAGATGAGAATACCCAATCTAAAGTTCAATTTATTTTTTTATTACCATCAACTATTGTGAGGAACTTAGTGAACATAAATCAGCTGGATAGATGATGACTAGCACAACATACAGTAAGCTGTGGGAAAACCTATATTTGTGGCCAGTTTAACGACTAAGGTGAAGAACATCAGTTAATAACGTATTTTAGGTCCACAGTAAAGCTTTCAGATACAAAATTGCTTTACCAGACTCCAGCACCATCTATTGGCGTATTCAAGCCTTTGTAGTAAGTGATACTCCACATAAACAGAGCCAGATTCATAAATGTGCGCTTATGTGATTGTTATGATTTTACACACACTGGACTAATCCTTAAGCATGAAGGTGAAATCTGTAATTATACAAATTGATTCACTCATCACAAGTGAGAAACCGGAGTTCATCCAAGCCTGAGTAAAATGGTGACTGCCAACCCCCCCACCCAACCTGAAGGCCCAATCAGTTGCATTCTCACGTCACAGCTATACACAACATAGAGGTGGGGAATGCCCCCATCACCAATGCCACCATTAATTGGGCCAGGAGGGGCTGTGGAGGTCAAAGTTTTGAGTGGGCTTAGGTGAACTCAGGTGAAGTGGATTGGCATTAGGGCCAAGTTTAGCAACAATCACGACATATGACTGGTTAGTTTCATGCTAATATTCTTGGCTGAACTTCAGGTCAGTTAAGTAGAGAGTAGGATGAGATCCCCAGCGTGGCTTATAAGAAAGCCATTAAAAGACAGAATTTTGCTTTTTTTTCCCATGGGCATCCTCATAAACAGTAATCTGTCCACAAGATCAGAGGATATAAAGCAGACCTTCAGCCAGGATGTCTCAAATTAAGTAAAGTCACCTTCTCCAAACCTTTACAAACAATGAAACTAACAGGCATAGTAATGACTCCTTTAAATTGTTTCTTATTTTTTTATAGTTCTTATTTTCTCCTCTCGCCTCTTTTGCTGGCGACCATTTTTAGAAAGGGTTGGTAATGCTAGCTGCCTTTGCTTCTTGGATCTCTCACTCAAGTTTCAATTTTGTAGGGTAAAGTTCCACGTTATTGGACTGACTCACTAATTACACCAACTCTTTCAGTATTCCACCTTACAATACAGAGTAATGCCAAGTTCCCCAAGCGCACCTCCATTCTAAAAAAGTATCTCCATGTTGAAAGACTCAACCTATACTCAACTTTCTGCTGCAGAATCAAACAAACGTTTCTGAAATCTCCGATTTCCCATAGTCATTCACATGGCGATGGCAGCAGAAAATTTAAGTAAAAATTATAATCTGCTTTACAATGCTGTGATCCTTTTTAATATGTGACAGATTCATTCCATTCATTCAGCATAGTTGCAGTAGATACAATGGGTTCAGAGGGACTCACTTAAACATTTTATGGATGTGACCAGCCGGTCCTGATACAGGAGCAGAAGAGACACTTCCAATGTCTTTAATATGAGGGCCAATACATTCTGTAAGTAAGGACTGCAGAACAAAACACAGAAAAAGATTGTCGTCATCATTCTGTCAACATTTACATATATAGATTGAAGAACTGTGACATAACCTAAACATTTAAAGCTGAACTTCAAGCACTTCTAAAAGAGACAATTTAACCCCTTCGTGACGGGAGACGTACAGTGTACGTCTTGTCACTTTGTGCCTATATGACTGGCCACGTACACTGTACGTGACGAGTTATATCAGGCTTTGTAATGCCGGTATTTGCTGATTCTCAGCATTTAACATCATTCATTAATGTCTCAGTATTGAGGCATTAATTAATGAAATAATTAAGCTTTTTGTAAAAGCTTCTTCCTTTCATTAATGAAAGAATGAAGCCGTTACATGCAAATAGAGGACCGCAATTTGCGATCCCGTATTTGACAGCTCAAAATAGCAGAGAGGCAGCAGTGACTCACCTCACCTCTCTGCTATTTGTTTTGACAGCTTGAGAGCCCGATGTTTACATACATTTCACTGAAAGGATACAATGTATCTCTTTTGAGTGAAATGTATCAGTTCTGATCGTCTAGGCACGATCAAAGAGCTTTTAGTGAGATCTGAATCTGACTAAAGTCAGGATCAGTCTCTAAGGTTATTATTAGCTGTTCCTAAGTTTGGATCAGCCTAATAGCCAAAAATAAAATAAAAAAGTTAATTTATCAAGCTGTCATAGTGATTGCTTGATATAAACTGACAAGAAAAAAAAAATTTTTTTTATTTTATTTTTATTTTTTTTACAAAGTGTAAAAAAATTAAAATAAAGTGTAAAACAAAATTAGGAAAATATAAATTATATATAAATATATTTTTTATACTATAATTAATATAAAAAAATTCTAAAAAAAAATAATAATAATCAAAACTTGTGAAAAAAGTGTTTTCTTCTAGTTTTTTTCCTCATTTTTTTTATTTTATTCAAACTAAGTGAGGGGTTAGGTACACATATGTGATATAATTATATAGCCCTATCTGTCCTCTAAAAAACAATATATAATATGTGTGGGTACATTTAGTAAGAAAGTATATTACTGACGTGGAAGAACCACACAGCAAAAATGTAAAAAATGTGTCAGTCATTTATGAACAGAACCTGAAAACTAGCTCAGTCATGAAGGGGTTAATTTAACTCAATTCTAGTAACTACTATTCTCATTATCGATTAATCAGTTGCAGCCCTATTCCATATCTAAACTACAGACAACACCTGCTTATGTTTGCTGAATGACTAATAGTTTACTTTTTACTATGTATATGAAATAATCTTAACAAAGACAACATACAGGCAGAATAGGACCAAACAGACAGATCGGTTATCATTGCAGCCATCACTGGTCTTATTGACTCTGTGAGAAGGTGGACATTTACCTTGAGGGTTCTGGTAGCTGCAGACTCAACCTGCAGGTGTGAAGACAAGAGGCAGTTCATACATGTGGAGAAAAGGCGCGGTAGATGACCCAAACTCAGGTCACTCTGCAACCTAGAAACACAAACACGTGGTCATAAATTGTCATTTGGTAAGACACGATGGGCAGAAGAAAAAGTATTACTTTTGTGTAATAAAACATCAGTCAGCATTTTATTCTCTTGGGGTTATTTAAAAATAAAAAAGCAAACAAGCCTCACAGTCATTTCTAATATAGAAACATAACTATTTAGCTTTTGATCATTTACACAATGCCGCGCCCAAGGAGGATACAGGTGACACTGAAGGGGGGAAAGTGACAGAGTCACTTTAAAACAACACTTAGGTATCACACCTATTTATATTTTAACAGTGCTTGTTTAGCATCGTCCTCATCGTGGGACTGGTTTGCTGAGGCCACTTCACTTTGCTGATCAGCCAGTCATAGGTCTTTGATGACATCAACATACAATGAAGGACTAACAATGCAGCATTGTATAGAAGGATGGCAAGGGCCCACCCCTATTGTGAACCAATAGAAAGCAGAGAAGAGCACCAGTGGCCAGGGGAGTGACGGACAAATATGGTAAGTCCTTTTACTTTCATTTTCCCCTAGGCAAAAAAAATAAAAATTAGCCCATGTAGTTAGTGTGTGGGCAGATCACAATGTATGGGAAAAATCAAAAGCAGTCCAAACTGGGGCTTTAAAATGCCACCTACTGTCCTATAAATGCCTTTTCCTTTATTTCATCAATAAACTTGCTGCCTGATATGCCAGTTTGCTCAGGGCAGGGCGTGCCCCTTGCTCTAACCAGCCCTTTACCAACACATCCTATTTGCCTATCCATTGTTTCTAAATGCATCTGTTTGGTCACCAATGGTTTCAAGGCAGCCATCCTGTGGAGATCAATGTTCTCCAATTATCTCCTCTGGGACTGTCACAATATGGTGGTATAGTGCCTACAAAAGCTTTTCTGCATTCTGAAGAACATAGTCCTTGACAGACAGAAAGCAAAAAAAACATGTTCAATTTTATTTATATTCTACAGTTTGAATAAAAACATGACGTTGATTTCAGCAAATAAATAAAGCGTAAATGCTGTAATGAGTGGAAATGTCATTACCGTGACAAGTTTATGTGAGCTTTTTCCATTACTGTCAGCCAGGCCAGTAAAGGTTGCAGGTCATTCTCATTGGGCAGATAGTCGTACAGGGCCTGTCAAATAACATGACACAAAGGACACATCAAGTTAGTGTAATGTATGCTTAGGTCAGACAAAATAATGAAAGCAGCACAGATTCCCTTCGTTTACAAATGTTTTATAGTAATTACTGAGAAATGGAACAACATTTCTACTCAAATGGACATAACACAATATAATGATAATCCAGGGAATATAATTACCATGGATATATAAAAATGGATACAACAGACTTTTATAGAAGTCAGTTTATCCAAATATACTCACTGTGATGATCTGGGCATTGAGCTCAGCAGTCAGAGCATTGATGTTAGGGAGAGCATTGAAGAGGCCATGGAAAGCCTGCATGGCACAAGCAGTGATGAGCTGCAAAGTGGAAAGAAAAACCAGTTAGGAAAATGTACTGAAGTATGAAATGGAAACAATAGTCCAACTTGTTGTGGCAGGAAGCAGACTTAAGTCCCATGTTGGTGGTCTTTGGGCTTAGGTCAATGGCATCTGTTGGAGATGTCTCTGAGATCATTTAGAATTCATGGACATGTCAAGGGGAGTAAGTCTTATCCATCCAGTGATGTAAAATTAAGTGGGGCTTAGAGTAAGGAAGACAGGATGCAGGTATAAATTGTCAAAATACAGTAGAGTAGCATAATTTGACAGGCAAGGCATGTTGCACTGCAATCCATATAGCTCATAGTAGTAAGGGACTGTCTATAGTAAAACTGCAGATTCAGTCATCTACAACAGCATTCCAGAATAGAAATCCAGCAGTCATACAAACTATTTTGTGCAGAAATAACAGATTCCATGTAAGAATATCAAGCAATCATATAAGATACACAGTTTATAAGTTAGGTGGAGGTATGCAAATGGTATGATGCTCTCATCACTCACCACATTGTTCAAAGTCATGACCTTCAGTAACGTCTCACAACAAGACTTGACCACACTGACAGGGAAGCATGGCAGCAAATCCTTCAGCAGTGTCAGCATGTGTAGAGTTGTGGTGGCTTCTTTACTACCTGAAAAATAAAATAAACTTTTAGGTTATATATTTATCTGATCTACAAGCCCACAGCCACAAAAAAATAAAATCAGATTTCCGTTAATTGTAGGCTGATCTGGTTACCACAGCACATTTGAACTGCAACAGCATAGCTCATATCTGGCAGCAGATTTTTTGGCTGGAATCACAGGTGGTTCCGGACAGCTGCAGCCGCTCAACCTGTACAAAGCAATGACAAGCGCAGCAGCTGCCACTGATATTCACATGTATCTGCACATCCACCTTTCTAGCTCTTGATGAAATGATTTTGAGTTTATAGGGGAATCATGTTGTCAATTTTATCAATTCTATTTGCTTTTTAATCAATTAAAATATACTTTTTCAAGAAATTCTTGGTGTGCAAGTTGTCAGTCGGCTGCCTAAAAAACCCCAACTTTTCTGACTTTTCGATATATAGCTCTTGATGAACACAGATTGCGTCCAGGGTCGGTTATCTAGCCACGGGTGACCACCGGATGTATAAATGAGCTTTGCACGATATTCTAATTATTCGAGTTTCACCTGTACATGTGAACAGTGTGTCAGCCTGTCATTGCTACGTATGGTCTGAGAGGGGGCAGCTGTCTGGTACCCCCCCTGTGATTCCAGCAGCAAGAATCTGCCATTTCTTGCTGCAGCAATCTGCTGCTAAGACTCAGAGTTCAATTGTGAAAGAGGTTTCCCACTCGGCAGCCACACATTTGGCTAGGTCTCAACCCTTGCATGAAGTGTATGTCTGGTGCCAACAACTGCACTCTAACAGGCATCAAGACAACATTTATGACAGTGAATACATAAAACCTCACCTCAGTCATCTTCCTTCTCTGCCACTGACTGGTCCCCCCTCTACATCCTTTCACAATGGAATATGACCAGATGCTACTTCTTTCATTCCTTAACAATAAGTTCCAGCTGCGACTCTTCTACCCTATTTACCATCAGCTTCTTCTCTACCACTCATTTCCTCAGCCTTTTAACTATGCCCTGTCCCACTTTACCTATTATCAAAAGGTCTATAATTGGGTCACCTATATTTAAACAACTCACATACTGCCTTCTCACTCTTTCTTTCAGGGTCAGCTCCTACAAAACCTTTCCCAATGTTCTGTTCCTTCCCACCAATGAAACTCTTACCTCCTGACTTTTCAATCTCCTGGATACAAAACTTAGCAGTGGACTGAGCTGCTGGATGGTGAGTAGGGGCCGAGTCAGCGAACATAAACTCGCTGCCCTTCAGGACGGTGCACACGCCAAGCTGAGCGGCCTTCCGTACCTACAACAAATTGCACACAGAATTAAATCGGAGGGACATAGCATGCATATCATGTACTGTAGACTCTTTTTTTCTTGTGTTCAACCTACTTTTGGTTTTGCATGGACAGTGAAGCTCAGTAAGCCATGGTACACCTGCAGAGTGGAAGGATAACTCCATGCTGATTGGTCCTGTTTCCGAAGCAAGACTGACAAGCAAGAAACAATCTGAAAAGAAAAGCCGAAATTAAACAAATTGCAGAATCACGTCTCTCCTACGCGTGTGGAAAACAGGGCATTTCTCCTTTTGGAGAACCTGTGTGTACAATTCCTAGTGAGCATTGTGCAATGTGTCCGTACTCGTACTTCGTCAATGAATTAAGTCACCTCTGAGGAAATTCACATGCTGACCAGCTCTATACTGATAAGGCCAAGTAGGCCAAAAAATGCTTTACATGGCTAGCTGATCTGGGTCAATACTACACATGCAATAAAAAAAAACTCCATGACTTCAAAGCAAGCCAGACACAAAATGCATGGCTGTCACTGCTGACCTCCTTTAGAAAATGCTAGGTAGCCTGGCAATCATTGTAATTATCTGATGTTAGTGTTTTGTGAATCACTAACCAAACCTAGTATGCAGAAATCAGAACTCTCAAATCCACATTCCTTGGACACTCATCCTATATATTTCTCTCACCACAGGTTTTCTTTAATGCCCATCACTAGGCAAAGAGAAGAGTGGGCACTTGAGCATCTTATGAACAGGGACTTAGGTGAGTAAAAAGGTCATTTTGAGATAAAAATATATATGTAGTGCCAGTGATTAGTTAGAAGGGGGAAGGAGGTTGGAATTGGCTTTACATTATCAAAAACTGATATACAGTGGCCATAATCTGCCACTAGCTTTCTTTTTCTCTCTAGTACTCCACTGGTGAGATCTCCACCAGAAGTCCTAGAACTCCACAACCCTACTGGTACCTCCTGGTGCATTTACTATAATTTACAATACAGGAATACTCTGGCGCAAGTATAATTTAAGAAGAAAATATATCAAATTTAGATAACATGACCAAGCTCTACGTTTTTCCGCAACAAGTAGATGTATACACAGGATAATATATAAAAAGCAGCAAAAACACTACTTACCCATCTAAGAGCTGAGGTGCTGCCACTGGTGGCTTGTGAAGACATAATATCCATAAAGGCCTTAGAAGTGTCAGAAAACTTCTTAATCAGCACAGGACCTGGAACCCTAAAATACATTACCAGTTATTGGATGATGAATCACTAATCCCGCAGTTAAGCAATAGGTAACAGACAATCAGACTGACCTTTTTAGAACCAGATTAAGCAGGTAGGCAACGGCAGCCAATGACTCCGGGGATTCAACAGCTTCCAGAGTAGTCATCTACAGGGAAAAAAATATATATGCATCAATCATATTGTTACCATGATCTGCAGTACACAGACAAACCTTGGGTGGGCTCATTCAGTAAAAAGACAAGAATATGAATCATAAGCAAAGAGTGTTTGTAACCCGGAGGTGCCTGCTTTTTGAAGCTGTGCTTTACAATTTTTGTTTTCCCCTAGATATTTGAGAAATGCTAATATGTAAATCATTCATAACTGGAGAGTGAGTGCCTAATAAAACCACTGTGCCTTAAAACGGTGGTCCCAGGGTTGTTGGACAAGGAAGCCCAAAGAGGAACAAACGGCCTCTTCAAAACATTAAAACAAGATTAGACCGATTGTAACTACACTGATAGACAATCGAGGGATACTATCGCCCTGAAGTTTGCATGTTCTCCTTATATATGCATGACTTCCCACCTACAGTCCAAAACGTACTAACAAATTGACAAAATGTACTTCTATAACTTCCCATGAAGAGCCACCGGACTGTCGCAGCAGGATTCTATGCAAAGAGTTGTAAAGTGAAAATTCATGAATGACAATGCTAGATGGACAGAAGAGGGGTATAAACTACATTTAGTAGAAAACACTGGTTAGTGTCCCAATTCCTTTAGGTAAAGACTATATATCCCCAAAGTCTGCTGCATGGTCCACGGAGGATTAGCGGTCTTATTTTTTCAGAATATGTTGTTTTCCTTTAATATGTTATAAGTATCAATATTGTAATTCAATGTGGTCATTACTCAGAATCCATAAAAAAATGGCAAACATGCAGAAAAATCACTCACCAAAGCAGCAAAGTATTCTGTTTCTGTCTCCTTTCCTCCCTGAGAACGGATCACTTCAGTTACTGCAGCCAGCACCGCACAAATCTAAAAAAAAATGGAAACATTTTTTTTTTAAATCACCAATCAAGCCTAAGGGGACATTCACACTAGATGCAGTGACTGGTGTTTTTCAGCAACTGAATAAATGCCAGTCATGGATAAAGCACATAGGAAACTGCTTTCTATGTGCTTTGTTCACACCACGACACGGGTGTGATATGTGGTAGGAAAAAATGCAGACGCTGCATTTCAAATAAAGTAAGCAGTGACAGCTCAGACAGTGTGCGCTGCAGTCGCTATCACAACACACTAGCACGCCTGCTAAATGGTCCATTTTAGTGGATGAGCTAGTGTGAACAGGCCCAAAGATCTATATTTTGCATCAGTTATAGAAGTCTTACAAAATTAATCTGACAAAATAAATATTCACACACACAAAAAAGACGCACACTGTTAATGTGAAAGCTGCATGGAACAAAACACAAGAGAAAGACTGTTAAATACTTTATCAAAAGGTATATGTAAACCACTTGTCTTTATTAGGCCTCATTAATAAAGACAATAAAAGGGGTGCTCATGACCATGCCTTGACTTTATTGACCCCATTGCCTCATGTCAGACCCCACTGACTCATGTCAGACAATGCTGGGCCACTGACTTTCTTGATCCCTGGGTATTAGTGTGTTTAAAAGTAGGATCACATTGTTTGATGCCTTGCAGGCAGCACATGGTCCTGGATTTTCAACTTTCCAGGCCATTGTTATGTTGTGGAGAAGTGATGGTGAAATTTATTATGCATGGTATATACCATTTAAGTAAACTGTTGACTGATTCAGCTCTTGGGTTTAGGGTTAGACCACGGCTGTCACTGACAGCTAGTTCCAGCACTAAAGCCTGCCAGAGCTGCTGCGCTTAGTGTGCTCTACACCTAACTGATGTCTGGAGAACAGCGGGCTACATGGGCTACATGAAGAGAACAAACAACTCACTGTAAATATCTAAGCAAAATTTAATTAGAAAGGTTACCACACCAATTTTAATTGGCTTATATAAACCAAGAGCAAAAAGGTAATATACTGACGCTTACCAATCCTTAGTTGCAGCGGCTGCGTTCATTTTTTAATCAGAACTTTAAAACACCTCCCCTTCTCCTCATCTGCATAACATGGGGGTGCTTTATAGTTCACAGAGAGAACTGGGAACAATGTAAACTGATAACAGTGCAAAGGAAGTCATCAGCTCACAATATTTCCAGCAGCATCAACAAGTATTTTCTGCACATAACACAACAAGATTAGTATATTTAAATGCCAAAGGTGAGCAGAGAGAAGTTTATTGTAAGGGCCTGTTCACATGAGATCAGGTCCTGATCAGGTGCTGGAGTGGGGCTGTTAGTATGTTAGCTGCAGTGCAGTGCGTTTTTGACGCGTTTGCGTTTCCTGACCGTTTCCGGACCGGACAAAATGTGACATGCAGTATTTTTCTGTCGTAAGCTGAACGGACTGCGCACGTGAGAACTGGAGCCCATAAAACACATTGGGATACATTGGGATGCATTTTGAGTGCAGCAGCGTACGGAGCCGGTCAGCACACAAAACGGACGTCGTGTGAACAGGCCCTTACTGTTTAAATACCCATCAATAAGTACACAGGCATATAATTCATCACTGTTGGGCTTTTACAGCTTGCTTTAATATAACAATAAAAAAGTTCACCCACCTCCTTGTGAGCAGCAGAGTTGGATTCCCAAAACCGCTGAACTTTGCCGAATGTGACATTGGTGCAGTCAGACAGGCCACTGAGGAAAGTGGCTCCTGATTTTTCTGTGATTGCCATTTCATCCTCATCTTCCATGAGGTCAGCAGGCCTCTTCTGTACAGACAGCGAACCTGACTGGAGATCATTGTGGAGTTTTAGAGCATCTACTGTCAGGTCACTTTTACCTAGAAAAGAAAACAAGAGCATTAATATATGACGCAAATGCAGCACCTACGCACGAGCCAACTAATCACAAGTGTTACAGAACTTGGGTAGCTTATCCCTTTGGTATTTATATTTAGGTACATCAAAACTCGGACAACTCGCTGCAACTGCTGGTCTTTAATCCAGGAGTTTTAAAAACTTTCCCTTAGAGCAGGGCTACCCTCACACTGCAAGTGTTACATGCTCATTTCTCTCTAGGGGATGAGACATTCCACAGCTGGAGCAGAGGGGCAGAGAAAAGAGTGCCAACCGCCATGGGACAGAGAATTTCTTTGAGAAATCACAGTTTTCTCCTTTTTGCATCTCCGTCTCTTTCAGCCACTTCCTGTCTACATGCAGATGCTCCAGTATGTCAGATGCACATCACTGCTCTATAGCCGCTTCCTGAGGATGACAATGAGGGACTATGTGTGAGCATTGTGCGACAGAATGGCCGCTTGTAAATTCTACCAAGGGCGCAGGTGACCACGTAGGAGCACAACTGGCAAACAGCTATCACACTATTACAGGAAGTGCCTGAACGAGGAACATCATGGCAGGATCACCAGGTATTTTACTGAAAGCTGTAGATTTAAAAAGACTGAATACAAATGTTTAAATGACATTTCAATATTTAAAAAGGAAGTTGTCTGGCCTGTAAGACCCCATGTGATAGCAATGAGGTTAAAAACCAAAAAAATGTAAAAAATAAAAGATAAACTAAACACAACTTTTTGGTCTCATAGACTCCAATGGAAAGCCCTATAAACGCACAGCGCTTCCACACTTTATTGCATGTTGTCACACAGACACAATCTACCAGCTGAACAGACGCACATAAGATCAATAGACAAAACCGCCTTCGCCTAGGTATTAAAGGAGTCTCAGGCTTTAAAGCAAAAGTTTCCCATCACTCTGTCTGTCAGCCCTGATTATAATGTAGTATGTCCTGTCCACAGAGTACTTGTCACTCTTTTATCCATTCCACATAAAGGTATTCTCCATCCCTGCTCACAAGTCATAACACTTGTATGTCAGTAATAATGAGGGTCACACAGCCTTCTTCCTCTGTGTTTCAGGATCAGTCTACTGATACTCTCCCCTGTATAAGGCCCCCACAGCACAAGTCATAGACACGATTGCTATTCCTCTGCCGAGAAGTGTAAAAGATCTCACCGGAGGGGCGGCTGAAGAATCTGCTCCGTGCTGCCTCCCGGTGTCTCCGAGCCTCGGGGTTCGATTCGCTGCTGTGTCCCTTCTTCCAACGCTTTACTTTCCCGGCCACACCGGAGCGCAACTTCCCCGTTTTCCCCATAATTACAGATGCTACAGTGCCACGCTCTACACACGTGTGGCCTCTAACACACCGATTACTTCCGGCCGGGCCGCGGCTCTATGGTGATCGGAGGCTACGTGGGAGAACAATGCAGTGCTGCCCTCTGCTGGCACTATACGAGCCTTACACCAGAGAAATGTCACAAAGGAACCTGCAGTGGTCACTGATAGGACTGTACATGAGAGAACAATGCAGTGCTGCCCTCTGCTGGCACTATACGAGCCTTACACCAGAGAAATGTCACAAAGGAACCTGCAGTGGTCACTGATAGGACTGTACATGAGAGAACAATGCAGTGCTGCCCTCTGCTGGCACTATACGAGCCTTACACCAGAGAAATGTCACAAAGGAACCTGCAGTGGTCACTGATAGGACTGTACATGAGAGAACAATGCAGTGCTGCCCTCTGCTGGCACTATACGAGCCTTACACCAGAGAAATGTCACAAAGGAACCTGCAGTGGTCACTGATAGGACTGTACATGAGAGAACAATGCAGTGCTGCCCTCTGCTGGCACTATACGAGCCTTACACCAGAGAAATGTCACAAAGGAACCTGCAGTGGTCACTGATAGGACTGTACATGAGAGAACAATGCAGTGCTGCCCTCTGCTGGCACTATACGAGCCTTACACCAGAGAAATGTCACAAAGGAACCTGCAGTGGTCACTGATAGGACTGTACATGAGAGAACAATGCAGTGCTGCCCTCTGCTGGCACTATACGAGCCTTACACCAGAGAAATGTCACAAAGGAACCTGCAGTGGTCACTGATAGGACTGTACATGAGAGAACAATGCAGTGCTGCCCTCTGCTGGCACTATACGAGCCTTACACCAGAGAAATGTCACAAAGGAACCTGCAGTGGTCACTGATAGGACTGTACATGAGAGAACAATGCAGTGCTGCCCTCTGCTGGCACTATACGAGCCTTACACCAGAGAAATGTCACAAAGGAACCTGCAGTGGTCACTGATAGGACTGTACATGAGAGAACAATGCAGTGCTGCCCTCTGCTGGCACTATACGAGCCTTACACCAGAGAAATGTCACAAAGGAACCTGCAGTGGTCACTGATAGGACTGTACATGAGAGAACAATGCAGTGCTGCCCTCTGCTGGCACTATACGAGCCTTACACCAGAGAAATGTCACAAAGGAACCTGCAGTGGTCACTGATAGGACTGTACATGAGAGAACAATGCAGTGCTGCCCTCTGCTGGCACTATACGAGCCTTACACCAGAGAAATGTCACAAAGGAACCTGCAGTGGTCACTGATAGGACTGTACATGAGAGAACAATGCAGTGCTGCCCTCTGCTGGCACTATACGAGCCTTACACCAGAGAAATGTCACAAAGGAACCTGCAGTGGTCACTGATAGGACTGTACATGAGAGAACAATGCAGTGCTGCCCTCTGCTGGCACTATACGAGCCTTACACCAGAGAAATGTCACAAAGGAACCTGCAGTGGTCACTGATAGGACTGTACATGAGAGAACAATGCAGTGCTGCCCTCTGCTGGCACTATACGAGCCTTACACCAGAGAAATGTCACAAAGGAACCTGCAGTGGTCACTGATAGGACTGTACATGAGAGAACAATGCAGTGCTGCCCTCTGCTGGCACTATACAAGACTTACACCAGGGAAATGTCACAAGGGAACCTGTAGTGTTCACTGATAGGACTGTACATGAGAGAACAGTGCAGTGCTGCCCTCTGCTGGCATTGCATGCACCTTGCACCAGAGAAATGCCACAAGGGAGCCTGTAGTGGTCACTGATAGGACTGTACATGAGAGAACAGTGCTGCCCTCTGCTGGCATTGTATGCACCTTGCACCAGGGTAATGTCACAAGGGAACCTATAGAGGGGATTTATAAAGACTGCCTCTGCTGACTATTGTATATTTAGAGTTGGTGACCCAAAGAAAGGATGCAGATTAGGAGCTTTACCCTGACTGTTCTGTCTACCAGCTTGTACCAGGTCAGTGACTCAAAACGTTGAAGCCATTGAATTACTATGGCAGCCAGGCAACTAGCATTGTTAGGCAACAAAATCACTGTCCAGAGTGCTGTTTTTTTTTTCTTCTAAGGGCCCATTCACACCCTAAGTGGGCATTATACTCTGTATAACGTGTGACTGCTGGTGTGCATGTGAAGGGGTGGGGTGATGCATTGATGAAAGGAATGTTACTAGAACTAAGAGCTCCATGGGGGGGAATTTATCAAAACTGGAGCAGACAAAATCTGGAGCAGTTGCCCGTGGCAACCAATCAGCTTCTATCTTCAGTTTGTTCAGATAAGATGTGAAAATGGAAGTGAGAAGCTGATTGGTTGCCATGCACAACTGCTCTGTATTTTGTCTGCTCCAGTTTTGATCAATTCCCCTCCATGTCTGCCAGTCATATTATACAAGTGTTGTCAGTACAGCACCACAGCTTCCGGAGTACAATGACGGCACCCGGCTCAGTGAATTTCTAAATCAAATTTTGTCAAGTCGTGTGGCGCTCGCAGGCTCACTTTTTCCATGGGGACAGAATGTGTGTGAGCAAGCTGCGCTTCGACTCTGAACACATCGTCAATCGGCATATTTCTTTATTTCACATTGTGGTGTTCAATGTAAGCAACAACAAAAAATCTGCCAGGGGTTCTAATCCCTCTCCTCTCTATCCAAAACTAAGAAAAAAGGCTTGGTTTCCGTCAGGGGCGTCCCAAGGCCGGGTGTCACCAGGAGCGGAGACTGGGTGACACCCCGCAGTGACGTCATCTCGCATGCGCGGTCATCGAATTGACGCCTGCCGGTGGCCATCTTGGTGATGGACACCGGCAGAGAGAGGAGGGGACGTTCACCCAGCAGGATGAGGTATGCCGCCGGGTCCCCTCCTCTCTCCTGATACTGTTGGGCTCTCGGTCCATGACCGAGTGCCTGACTTTTTAAAGGGGGTGTCACCAAAATTATTGTGGCTGGCTTCCGTTGCACTTTTTAGAGCAAAACACCAAATTAACAAAGCATTGTGACGCCCCAGCATTGTGACGCCCCAGCGACACATCAGACCTATGGACTTTAAAGCCGCAGTGACACACTGCATGCGGACCCGTGCAGAGCGAAGCAAAGCTGTCAGGCACGGAGCTTCGCATGCAGTGTGTGTGTGTGTGTGTGTGTGAGCTGAGTGCAGGCAGATGAATGACAGCATCTTCAGCCAATCGGCTTGCACGTAACAACTGGCTGGACTTTGCATCATGACGCGCGGGTTTATACGAGCGAGCCGTTTGGCTGAAGATGACATTTGACATCAAGCCGCATCTAATCCAAATGTCATCTTCTTTTCCTGCTGCGTGAACTTTGTACCTTTTATGACACAACTCGGCTGAAATAATAATACAAAAAAAGAACACTGTCCTGTACACACATGCTGTTTCACCTCACCGTGCCGGTGGTACCACCTGCAGAGGGAACGTGTCACTCATCAACAACACAGTTACTATTGCTAGCCAAGATCTGCTTGCATAACCGGCTAACGCGCCGCATTGCGCAAACCAAAACTCTTATATTGGTGATGCAATAACAGTAGAAGGGCTTTGATTAAAGTCTAACTCGCCTTTTGTTGAGAACAAAAAACAATCTGTAGGTCAGTTATATAGAATACAAGGATTCTAGCAGACTTAATTAGTAAGTGTATACATCTCCTGTACTGTTACCATGGTTACGAGGAATCAGCAATTTAAAGTGACCCTGTCACCACCGGGTGACTTCCAAAAAAAAACCACCAGCCCTGTAAAAGAACAGGTTCTACAGCTACCACCTTCCAGGTGCTGTGTACATACCTGCTCCTCCTTCTCTGTGCACTGGTTTCTTCCGACACCTCATACAACACTACAGGACATACACGCCGGCAGGAGGAATCTTTGCAAGTGGGGGGGCGGAGGTATAGGACCCATCTGACCAGGGGAAACCCCATAATGAGGCGGCAGGGGCGCCAACCGGCCAAGTGTCACCCGGTGCGGCCGGTGGGTGTCACCCAACGTGCACATCATTACGTTTGTTTTTCCGGACTTGGCTGGAGCCGGGAGCAACTGGATGTAACCAGACATTTCGATCCGGCTGCCCGTAGACTTACATTTGGCATCCGATCGGGTCCGCCTGAGAAACTGGCATGTGGACCTGATCGGAACACTCGTCTGAAAGGGGCCTAAGGGCTTGTTCACAGCAAGTGCGGAGCAGGTGCAGAGCAGTTACAGAAAGCATAAAAAATGCATCCAATGTATTCCAATGGTATTTTGGGCTCTAGTTCACACGGCAGGGTTCAGTTCCAGAACATGTAGAAAAACTGCAGCATGCCCTATTTTTTCTGCTCTGGAACGCACCGAAACACATGCAAACGTATAAAAAAAATGCATGCAAATGCCCTGGAACGCACTGAAAGCCCATTTTAGGATAAAAAAGTTACATTTAAAAAAAGGGACCGGAACGTGACAAAAACGCAGTGCCATATGCAGAAACTCATGCAGATCTGGTCCGGATTTGGTGTGAACACGCCCTTAGTCTAGAGTGCAGCAACTAATAAGAATTTGTTTTCTGATAATAGAGCAAGCAAGCACTAATTTGATCGGACCGGACTGCAGGCATAATGTGCCTTGCGTTCCCGTGCAGCCGATCGCATTGCGGCCGGAGGGCGTGGCTACGGTGCCATTCACTTCAATGGACCGCCACGCCCCCTCCTGCCCCACAACATAATGCGATGCAGTTCTGGCCAAAATCAGGATGGAACGCACTGTCTCTGGTGTGAACGAGGCCTCACACATTAATTATGATTGGTTGCTATAGGTTACCGGACTTTGCACTATACACTGTTTCATGTAAAGCAAGTTAGGTTTGAATTTACTGTTTTTTTTGTTGTCTGTAACAATTAAAGGAGAACTATGAGGTGAGTGAAAATCACTCAACCTCCTAGTTCGAGCCGACGTGTGACAATGAAACTGTCACAGTTCGGCTCAATAGATCGGGAAGTGAGAGAACACATACCGTTGCTCGCTCACTTCTCGATCTATCCCTGCAGAGAGCAGTGACTGTCACTCACAGCTCCCTGCAGGGATTCCCCCTCGCCTATCTGATCCTCCAGCGCTGACTGGCGGAACGGACGGAGGAGGGGGCGGGTACAGCTGGCTTTGCCTCTAGATAGGCAGAGCCAGCTGTCAATCACGCAGCTGGGTGGATCCAGACAGTAATGTCGGGATCCGGGCTGCGGCGGTCTCAGTATATAGAGAGCTGTAGCTCGCGGTATACTGAGCCTAGGTTGATGGGAGGACGCTAGTTTGTGTCCTCCCGTTACCCTTAGGAGAACTATGGGGAAAAGCACTGACCCCATAGTTCTCCTTTAAGCAGATTCTCTTTGTGTTACCCACATGTTGCATAGGGGGAGTGGAAGATCTACACCAGATACTTTTGTTGAATCATAACTATGTATAAAAAAAAAATACAAACTGCAGGAAATGTCAACATGTATCTACATTGCCCGTGGGAACCGGTCCAATTACTGCTGCTGATTTTCTCATCTGCACTGGAAGAAATTGACAGCTGCAATTTTGTTCTTCGCTCTTTACGAACTTGCTCTTGGGCTTTGAATATCAGCTCATATAAAATGTTTGTATTATAAAGAATAAGAATGGAGATCATTCATGCAAAGTTCCAAACTATTAAAAAAAAAAACTTGCAAATAGCTGCCCAAAAATAACCCGAGCTACAAAAATTTCAGTAGGATGCCGATTCATCTTTTTAAGACTAGAATCTAATGTTTTGTCCTAGGGGGTTATAAAATACTGTTGATGCAGTCTACACATTATTACCCAGATAGCAAGCAATTGAGTTGCAAGTTTGAAAATGACTTGCTAAACTATTGCAGACTTGCCAAGCTTCACAATTTTGTTGCACAATTACAGCAAGTCTGCATTGCAAGTCCCCAGATCAACGTGCTTTGGAAAAGTGTCTGTACACTTGCAGAGCTCTTGCTATGACCTGCAGGACTCTTGCTATAGACTTGCCAAGCAAATTGGCTCCAAATTCTAAAAGTGTCACCTAGAACTTGTGCTGCGAGTGTTCTGCAAGTCTACAACTCGCCAGGAATGTGTGCAGCAAGTTAACAAGAATTACAATTTAAACCTGCCACAAGTTTGTGGCAAGTTATCCTTGCTATCTGGGTACATAATGAAAAAGAAAAAACACTAAAGCGTAACTAGACATAAAAAACTGCTACTGTAGAAAGTCGAATTTCTTGGCAGAAGAGACATTGAAAAAAAAAGTCTGCTTCTCCCTTCCAGCATTTTTTACAATTTTCTGTGTACACTGTACGGCACATGCACAGTGCAATGTACACTCCTGCTTATCCCTGTCATCATGCAAATGGCAAGAATGGAGCCAGGATTGGGGGAGAGGTATACCTTCTGTGCACAGAAGTTATATCATCAAAGTCTGCCCAATAATTGGGAAGAAGGAAGAACAGTAACAATTAGGGATGCACTGACACCGATACTAGTATCGGCATCGATTCCAAATGCGATACTTATCCCGATACTGGAACTTCCGGTCTGACCGGCAATGCCACGAGGGAACATGGAGCCGGCTTCCCTCCCAATCAGGAAGCCGGGCGGCAGATAATGATTCGTCAAGGCCCCTATGTGTAGTGTGGTCCTAACTGTGCCTGTGGAGACACATACAGCTTAATAGCACACACAAGGGTGGCTCCATAGCACCCTTCGAGAGAAAGGAGCCACCCGAAAACAGGATATCAGGGCCAGTGCTCAGAAGACCAGCTGATTCTGCAAGAAATTAAAGTAGGGTATACACGGTTAGAGTTTCGAACGAACGAAATGGAATTCGCAATGTTCTTTTGACTTTCGTTAATGGGGTCGATTTTGACCACAGTAACAAACAAACAAAATCGAAGGAGCGTGTTGGAAAATGTTTCTTGATCAAATTAATTTCTAACAGTGAATGTGTTTTTCGTTTGGAAACTCCAATCCTTCCAAAATCGAATGTTACACAAAAACGGAAATTAAAAGAATTTTAAATGACGATCGGCAAGTTTCTGATGCGAGTATCGAACGTTCCGACGGGATTTTACATACGACCGTTCGTTCAAAATTCTAGTAGCGTATACCTTACTTAAAGTGACATTAAAGTCCCCCCCACAGTGCTAATGTAAGGACTTACCTTAAAGCATGCCTCTTAATCCGATCATCTTCTTCTTTAGTGTAGTTTTCAGCTGTCCCTTCAGCGCTGGGTGCGGGTCTCCGATCCGGCGCTGACTCCTCTGTCCTCGCTCATGTACCACGGAGTCTGTGCGGGTGCACGCTGCTCCATATACTTACCTTGTGTCTCTCCTCGTCTCCCGGCCGAACATCTGAACTGCGCATTCGCGCCCCTCCAAAGATCCTTTGCGGCAGCCCGAGAAAATTTTCAGATGTTCAGACGGTGACGCAGGTAAGTATTAACCCTTTGAAAAAGTCATTTTTTAATCGTGTTGCATATATCTACTGTTTGCTAGCCACATATATATATATATATATATATATATATGCAAAAACCGCTGAGGGTTTAATAACCCTTTAAATCTCAGAAACATCGAGGAGCTGCATCCATTATAAATTATTTATTCAGCTTGTGAATTAGCTTAAAAACATTTTGACTCGAATATCACTAAATGTGAACTTTAGTTAGTGATAAAGTTTGTTTTTCCTACAAATCTATACATCACACCTAAAAGGGGATTTTTTCTAGAAATAAGGACTAATATATACAGTATACACCGAGTGGCCAGATTATTATGACCACCAGACGTTTGTAGGCAAATTAGCTATAATTTCGCGCTGAAGTTACTAGAGGGCCAGACCATTATAAATAGGGAAGCAGGTTGGTTACCACGACAGTAGAAGTGATATGTTTCTGAAGATACGGGGAAACAACGCGATTTAACAGCCTTTGAACGTTGAATGATTGTTGGCGCTCAAGCCATGGAGCGAGTATCAGCAAAACAGCAGAATTCGTTAAATGTTCAAGAGCAGCTGTTGTTAAAGTGTTTAAAGACCGGACGACCAGCCGAAAATCTGGGTCTGAGCGTGCGAATTGTGGCCGTCAGCGACTAGTCAATGTTAGGGCAGAACGGAGAGGGGCAAGACTGGTACAAGACAACAGAAGGGCAACAGTGCAGTGTCAGATTCCTCGCATCACCTTTCAACATCTCGTGGAGTTACGAGGCGGCCCAACGAAGTACTGATGGGGTGGTCATAATAATCTGGCCACTCAGTGTATATATATGTATGTATGTATGTTCAAGAGTGGGGCTATTCCTACAAAGCAAGGACAGTTGGGAGCTATGGTTAAAGGTGATACTACAATAAAAAATGGCATATTGTTATTTTCTTCAGAGAATAAGCCAAATAATAGGAAATTCATATCTAGAAATGTCAAAAAAGTAATGTGCAAGTGGAAGAACTCACATCATTCAATGCTCATCATTAACCTCATTACTCTTTACATTGCTGTACTTATGACACATCTACATATTATGTTTCCAGAATGACAATGACAGTCATTAAAATGCAAAACCGTCCCCGAGCTGTGTAATGTGAAGTTCTGGTGAATTGGATGCTATGTTGCTTAGGCACCTGTATTAGCTTCCCTATGGCTTCTCTAGCTGTATGGCCCCTCCTCCACAACAGGAGCTGCTATACACTTGGCTTGACAAAGCTCCCTGAGATGTAGCCTGCTGCTCTGAGCCGAGTTTGTTGTAGAAACCATCACCAAGGGCTATTCATTATGAGTTGACAGAGAGGGACTTTCAAACAAGCAAACACTTCAAAGCATCATTTGTGAGCTAGGTATCTAAACATAAACACGCATCCTGTCCTGTGCACTGCCACATCGGAAAACTGCACACTGTGACAGTATACAAAAAGGGAGCTGATGCTGGGATGTCTTATGTTGCAGGTGACAGAAGTCCAGTTGATATGGACGCGTTACATCTTATCAGCACCAGAAGTGAAGATGGGAACTCCGACAACAGCCTGGATGAGGTTCTGACCTTCTCTCCGGATCTGGGATTGTCACCGGTCACTTCTCTTTCTGGGAACATGGATCATCTCAACTGTATGGACAGGTAATGAGTTCCTGTGCTCATCAGAGCTTTCATTACTGCTTTCTGATAAAACACCGGGGGACTTAAAGTGAAACTAAACTCAGGAGTTAAATCGTAAAAATACATTCAAGTACCTTAACTATGAACAAAAATGTATCTTATTTGTGTATCACTCGGCTGTAGATCCTCAAATCATCTCTAAATTGGTGCTGACACTGTCCTTCCTTCTGGAGGGTGGCTACTTCTGTTCCCCATGGTCCCTGTGTGTGTTGTAAAGTAGTCACCGCTCCAAGCTCACTCCCGGGATGGACTACAATCTCAATACAAGACAATACGTGAGATTGTAGTCCATCATAGGAATGATCTTGGAGCGGTGGCTACTTTACAACACACACAGGGACCATGGGGAACAAAAGCAGCCCCCCTCCAGAAGGAAGGACAGTGTCAGCACCAATTCAGAGATGATTGGAGGATCTACAGCTGAGTGATACACAAATAAGATACATTTTTGTTCATAGAGTACTTGAATGTATTTTTAAGCTTTTACTCCTGAGTTTAGTGTCACTTTACTCCTGGTTCACACACAGTGATTTGTAATGCTTTTTCTGCCCTAAAAAACGCTATAAAAACACCAAAACAAAATCCCATTCATTTCTCTGGCCATGTGCACCTCTAAGCGTTTTGTCACATGTAGTTAGTTAGTTGGTAAAAGTACACAAGCTTCTTTTTTGGCAGATTAGGCACTTCTTGGCTCCAAAGACTTCAATGGAAATGCTCAAAAACATGCGTTTGCTGTGTTTTTGCGCGTTTTACACGCGTTTGCTCATTTGCATCAATGTGTCACAATCTGCTCACAAAAACGCTCAACTTGATTAAAGCGCATAAAAACGTGCGGCCAAAACACACGTAGAAACGTGCAAAAGTGCTGTCGCCTAGGTGTGAATCCAGCCTTATACTGCTCATACACTGGCAGGCATCTTCATCAGGGTGGCTCCACTGCTTAGCAGGGTCTAATGGAGCCACCCTTACGTGAGCGCCCTAGCCTGTGATGTCACCAGCACGCCAGTGGATAGTGTTCAAAAATAAAGCGTCTTTTATTCACGCATATTTTGTCACATCAAGCCCCGTGATGGTCGCACATGCGCCTTGTTCTCCAGGGGTGATGGTGGTCATGTGATGCAACTACGGCAGTGGCGTGGCGAGTTAATGGCGGGCTCTGCAGGGTCACTCTCAGGTGGGCTGTTTGGGATATTAGGTGGGCTCTGCAAGGGGCATAACTAGAAATCACAGGTCCCCATAAAAAACTTTGCTATGGGGCCCTGTGATTTCTAGTTACGAACCTGAACTACGGCGCATGCTTTTCAACCCAGGAAGGGCAAGATGGAGTACGTAAAGTTGGCGTGCGCATGCCAGGTATGGGAGTGCGCAGTACTAATAATGGGATAAGGAACAAACCACTGCTGATGTGAGTGGTCATGTGACCGCTACAGTGCATGCTCCCCGTGCTACCTGACCAAAAGTTGAAGGAGCGAGCATACATCCATACAGAACGACTGCCACAAAAAAGTAAGAGAATGGGGATATATGCTAAAAAATAATGGATGCTGTATGTCCTTGTGTAAGTGAATACTACCGAATAAAAAAAACAAGTAGGGTTTAATGCTATTTTAATAATATAGGGATGCATTATATGTTATTTTCATGTCTAAATGAACTGCATTTTGATTGGTTGCTACATAGCTGGATTTTGGTAACGCACAACAATCCCTACTAATTGTCTTTGTTATCCCTCTGCAGTATCAGTCCAAGGAGAAGGCTGAAACTGTCCCCTGACTCCCAGAATCCCAGCCCCGGCGAGACACCGTTACACACTACCATGGGAACAGCGGCCTTTTCAGGTTAGAGCCAGTATCCCTCCAACACAGAACAGGTTAATTATCTCCATATGACAATCTGCCGCATGCTGTGTCTCATTACCACGCTGTCACCAGGAGACCTAGGTGATCTGACACCGTCTACATAGCGGGTTCAATACTCAGCAGCGTGGGGTTAATCATCTCTGAAAGGAGCACACAAATGGATTTCTGTCACTGCATATTTCTGCTTTCACAGTAATCTCTACGACTTCATTATAGAAACACTTTTTTCTTCCCTGTCTTAGTCTTGTTTGAAGTGGCAGCTGAGAAAAGCAAAAAACATATTTTTATTGTTAGCTACTCACTGTTATTTACAAGTCTTTTACTAATTTGCTGTATTCAGTGTTTGCATTAAAGCTAAACTCCGGGCACAAATATGTTCATTAAAATATATTCCTCACTAACCACAAAGAATAAAGAGCCGGTGCAGAGAGTAGAGCTGTGGGAGGGACCCAGCAGGTTCCACCCTCTACAGGCTGCCTGCAGAAAACTACAGGAGGGGGCGGAGACAAGACCAATTACCCTGCACAAGGAGAGAGAGCAGCAGTGGCTGGTCATTATTACAGAAGGGGGGCGGAGATAAGACCAGTCACCCTGCACAAGGAGAGAGAGCAGCAGTGAGCGGTCTTTATTACAGGAGGGGGCGGAGACAAGACCAGTCACCCTGCACAAAGAGAGAGAGAGCAGCAGGGAGCGGTCTTTATTACAGGAGGGGGCAGAGACAAGACCAGTCACCCTGCACAAAGAGAGAGAGAGCAGCAGTGACTAGTATTTATTATAGGAGGGGGCGGAGACAAGACCAGTCACCCTGCACAAGGAGAAAAAGCAGCAGTGACCGGTCTTTATTACAGGAGGGGGCAGAGACAAGACCAGTTACCCTGTATAAGGAGAGAGAGCAGCAGTGAGCGGTCTTTATTACAGGAGGGGGCGGAGACAAGACCCGTCACCCTGCACAAAGAGAGAGAGAGCAGAAGTGACCAGTATTTATTACAGGAGGGGGCGGAGACAAGACCAGTTACCCTGCACAAGGAGAGAGAGCAGCAGTGACCAGACTTTATTACAGGAGGGGGCAGAGACAAGACCAGTCACCCTGCTCAAGGAGAGAGAGCAGCAGTGAGCGGTCTTTATTACAGGAGGGGGCGGAGACAAGACCAGTCACCCTGCACAAGGAGAGAGAGCAGCAGTGACCAGACTTTATTACAGCAGGGAGCAAAGATAAGACCAGTCACCCTGAACAAGGAGAAAAAGCAGCAGTGACCGGTCTTTATTACAGGAGGGGGCAGATACAAGACCAGTCACCCTGCACAAGGAGAGAGAGAAGTAGTGAGCGGTCTTTATTACAGGAGGGGGCGGAGACAAGACCAGTCACCCTGCACAAGGTGAGAGAGCAGCAGGGAACGGTCTTTATTACAGGAGTGGGCGGAGACAAGACCAGTCACCCTGCACAAGGAGAGAGAGCAGAAGTGAGTGGTCTTTATTACAGGAGTGGGCAGAGACAAGACCAGTCACCCTGCACAAGGAGAGAGCAGCAGGGAACGGTCTTTATTACAAAAAGCTTTTTTTTTCACCCTAACTATTCAAATCTTCTTTTTTTCATATTTAGATTTTCCCATTGAGTCAACTCCTCCACAGACTTGCAGCACAAGGTGAGGGGCCATCTCATGGATATTTTTAATGAACTGTTTTTTGGAGGAACTCTCACACATTTTCTGAATCACCTATTTATAGTTTATCATTATAATTTACAGCTATATACAGTATTATACTCTAATATGCATGTATTAAGAATTGTTTTAAGAATTGTATTACTTACTAAAAGTGTTATTATATAGTAAAATACTAGCCAAATTTTAGACGCATACATAGCAAGCTATAGACTCCAAACATACCGATGTGCACAAAGATTAACATTGTTTTTATATGATATTTTAAAGGAACAATTAGAGTCTGTATAATGGTCAATAAAGAATTAGTTTAACATGAACAGGGCCATCCCTATAATGATGCAGCCTGAAGCATATCTTTGGGTCACATATCTCTTTCCTGGCTGTCTCTCCTTGCTCTCTCTCCTGGCTGTCTCTCCTCTCTCTCTCTCCTGGTTGTCTCTCCTCGCTTTCTCTCCTCGCTCTCCTGGCTTTCTCTCCTTGCTGTCTCTCCTTGCTCTCTCTCCTGGCTGTCTCTCCTCTCTCTCTCTTTCCTGGCTGTCTCTCCTTGCTCTCTCTCCTGGCTGTCTCTCCTCGCTCTCCTGGCTTTCTCTCCTTGCTGTCTCTCCTTGCTCTCTCTCTCCTGGCTGTCTCTCCTCTCTCTCTCTCTTTCCTGGCTGTCTCTCCTTGCTCTCTCTCCTGTCTGTCTCTCCCCGCTCTTGTATTTTGCAAACAGTGTAGTACAACTGGCTGTGTAAACTAATATTCTTTGATGTAATACATGGCACTTCAACCACCAGAATCCATCAGAAAGGTGTCAGGGAGCTTCGCTCAGCTGACTCGGGCTAATAGGTAATTATGTGTGCACAGCTAAATAAATAAATGAAAATGGAATAAAGGGGCCGCCATTCACACCCTGTGTGATCTACCAGCATCAGCTTTGAGAGCTACTGGTAGATCACGATCTACCTAATGGGCACCTCTGGTCTAGGGACACCACTGATCAGGATCACCATATAGTTTCTTATAGCTCCCAGAGACTGTAGTGATGGGATTTTGGACAGAAGTTTCTTGTCCCCAGCACTTACCACAGCGGCATAAGAATTGGGTTGTACTGTTACAGCTGGATTCCCCAGTTATATGTTTACTGTGCACTTTGGTAGATGTTTTGGGCAGTATGACAGCGTGAACTGACTTTAGAATTGCTACATCAGTTGGATAGCATTGTAAATATCTTGCCATTGGAGTGCCAGAGAGATACAAGAAATCAGCATTTATTAATTGCCCAGAAATATTTTTTTTTAATGAAATATCGATACAAATGACATTAACCTCTAAACAAAACATTGCAAAAGCTGAATGGCAACCAGCGGTATTGTTTTATAGTGGGAATATTATGAATAACTTTTCCTTATGTCATTCATTCTGCAGTGATTCCTCACTAGAATACACCATCCATAAACCGGTAAGTGAACTCCCTCTAGAAACTATTTACTAACCACACCAAGCCTGGGCAGCGGCTGCCATTGCTGGTCTCATTGTGCACACACTAGAAGCCTGGCTGTCATGTTGAGCCTCTTACTTCAATACTTTTACCGTTCCCAGGGAAGCAGGAACCTATATGCACGGAGCACACCATTATGGTCACTAAGACAAATGGTGGATCTTCCCAGCCAGGAAACAGAAAGCTATGGAACTTGACCGAGATTCTAACCAGGGGCGTCCCGAGGCGAGGTGTCACCTGGAGCGGTTACCGGGTGATAGCCTGTCGTGACGTCACTGTGCATGCGCGCGATGTCACCACACATTTGCACAATGACGTCATCGCGCATGCGCTGTGATCTTATTGATACCTGCCGGCAGCCATCATGGTGATGGACGCCGGCAGAGAGAGGAGGGGACAGTCACCCGGCTGGATAAGGTATGCCGCCAGGTCCCCTTCTCTGTCGGGTGCTCGGTCCATGACCAAGTGCCCGACTTTCCGGAGGGAGGTGACACCAAAATGACTGACAGTCATTTTGGTGTCACCCCTCCAATGGTGTCACCTGGGTGCGGGCCGCAACCCCCCTTGTGACGGCTTTGGTTATAACCCTTCCGCGCTAGAAGAGACAAAGAGGGGAATGTATTGAAGCTGGAGCAGACAGAATCTGGTGCAGTTGCCCATGGCAATCAATCAGCTTCTCTCTTTCATTTCCAAAGCTTAACTTAACAAACTGAAGAGAGAAGCTGATTGGTTACTATGGGCAGCTGCTCCATATTCTGTCTGCTCCAGTTTTGATGAATTCCCCCCATAGTATGAAACTAGAGCGTAGCCAAAACTTGACACACTTTAATGTGGAAGTAAATTTAAAAAATGCAAGCATGTATGCTATGTCTCTTCTGCAATAAGACAAACCTACCTGCCTGTTCATAAATGCCTTTAAAATGTACTCTGTGGTGCGCATGCGCAGCTCAGTGTACATTCTCAGCAAACCTCGATGTCAGAATGAATGAACTCCCGTGCCCATGCACAGTAGTTACGTCAATCTGGTCCTGCCAATCAGGATGGCTGAAGATCTGGAGCCCAGAAAAAGACTGGCGCAGAAGTCAGCGCTAGTGAGGGGAGGCGAGTTTATTTCCACTTTAAGGAACCTCTTTTTCCCTTCTTACTTCAATACTTTAAATCACTAACCCGTAATAAGGCATGTATGTAGCGGGTGAGCGAATCAGAAAGTATTAAAGCCAAAAGATCAGCATAACAATAGCCATGCAAATACCATTTTCAGACGAAGGTTAGCAATGGCAGCCACCATATCACTCATAGGAAAGGGTTACTTTAGCAGCAATATGAATATAATGTATTATTAAGCAGCCTATATGCCGGTATTATGTAGATACAATCTCTCTACAAAATGAGAGCTATTGTTCTGCCCCAGCATAAGAACTTGGAGGGCTGATTGGGCTCCTTGAGATAACATGGAAGAGTTAACAAAACACAGGACATCTCTGAATGTTTTACAAGATCAACGTTTTTTTTTATATCAAGGAGAATAAAGTGACACCAAACTCAAGAATTAAACCTTATAAAATACATTCCAGTACCTTAAATATTAACAAAAATGTATCTTATTTGTGTATCACTCGGCTGTAGATCCTCCAATCATCTCTGAATTGGTGCCGGCACTGTCCTTCGTTCTGGAGGGGGATGCTTTTGTTCCCCATGGTCCCTGTGTGTGTTGTAAAGTAGTCACCGCTCCAACCTCGCTCCCGTGATGGACTACAATCTCAGGTTTAGTTTACTCATTTGTATTGAGATTGTAGTCCATCATGGGAGCAAGCTTGGAGTGGTGACTACTTTAGTGTATGGCCAGCTTTACCCTCTACCCCAGCAGCACTGGAAGACATGTGTCTTGTGTATTATTATATGGCATATCAAAAACTACTGAGCTATCCTATGATTTTGCTTATAGTGGCTTGCTGACCTACTGTCTGATGTGTTTTTAGTCTGCATTATGCTCCAGATGTTGGTGCATGGAAAGCTCTTCTGTACCTATAAAGTAATCAATAAACTTTTATTGAGATCAGTCTGGAGATTGCTTTGGAGTAACTTTTTTATTTTGTTTTAGTTAAAGAAGGCAACAAGAAGAGGAAATGTGAGAGACAATGTGGAGAACAAACGCCAAACAGATACCAGAAAGGTACGTGTATGTACTGTAATGGCCGGAGAAGTTGGTTAAACTTCTGTGACTTAGTATATTGCTTTGAAATATACATTGCACCTTTTTTCAACCTTTTGACATGGAGAAACCCTTAAAATATATTTCGGGTCTCAGAGAGCCCCTTCTAATAATTACTACAGTATATCTACAGCTTGCAGTATATTCACGTGAATGGTAGATTCTGGATATATGAATGAGTAAAAGAATAAGTAATATGGCATATTTAGCATAGACACTTAGGGCTTATTTTCAGTTATAATAATGAAATACACAATTACACAAACAATAATCCTGGCTAGAAATGAAATGCAGACTGTGAAAACAGTAGTGCTCTATCACATCGGTGGTCAGTGGAAAATTGCCCTCTTACATTGATAGTCAGTGAAAAAGGTCATCCTTACATTGGTGGTCACTGTCATGCCTATTTACACTAGGTGGCCAGTGTAATGCCGACATATATTGGAGATGCGTGAAGTGCTACATTATGGTGGCAATCAGTGTAGTGCCCTCATATATTGGTGGTCAGGGTAGGGTCCTTATACATTGGTGGTCAGAGGAGAAGGACTTGGTTACATTGGCAGTCATGGAGAAGGGCCCCATTACATTGGTGTTCAGTGGAGAAGGGTCTTCATAGATTCCTGTTCAGCGGAGAAGGGCACTGTTATATTGGTGGGCAGTGGAGAAAGGCACGTCAGTAGAAAAGTACATAATTTCATTGGTGGTCAGTGGAGAAGGTCAAAGTTACATTGGTGGTTAGTGGAGAAAGGCCCCATTCCTTGGTGGTCAGTGGAGAAGGCCCCATTCCTTGGTGGTCAGTGGAGAAGGCCCCATTCCTTGGTGGTCAGTGGAGAAGGGCCCATTACATTGGTGGTCAGTGGAGAAGGGCCCATTACATTGGTGGTCAGTGGAGAAGGGCCCATTACATTGGTGGTCAGTGGAAAGAATGTCACTTACATTGACAGTCAAAAGGAAGAATGCCCCCCTTACAGATGGATAAAAAGGTAATTGGTGTCAGAAGTGATTAATCTGAGCGGCAGAATGTTCTCATTGCTAAAGGAACCCCTAGCAAACTCTGGAGGAAACCTAAGCTTCCATGGAACCCAGGTTGAGAAAGGCTAATACAGCGTGTCTTTGAAATGCATAATATCAGTCCCGGTTTATTGCCTGGAGTTCTGCATTGGGGTAAAGTGAGAGGACATTGTGATCTTATGGTTAACTGACTGGTTTCCTTTCTTTGCTTGCAGTTGCTCTTTTTTTAAATGCCTGAAATGAACATTATACAATTTATATATTTTTTTTTTTCCTTCTGAAGAAAAAATCTAGAATGAAGCTTTCAGAACTGTTCCACAGCCCAGAGCTTGTTATAATGCAACAAAGTCACAGAACAGAGGAAATCAAAGAAGGACCCATCACACGGAGGAACGACAAAACAAAGGGCCTTCAAGACGTTTCCGATAATAAAATGTTTATGGTAAAGTCTTTCCAAGATCACTATTGATTTCATTTTGCGAGAATGCTCAGTTATATCCTTGTAAGCTAAGCATCAATATAGCTTGTCTACAGAGGAGATTTTACTGTGCTTAGTAACTTAAGATTAACACTGATAGCAGTCACCACATTTGCAACACATATGAGGCCTTTAATAAAACAAGGGGTAACATACATTTAAAGGGGATTCTCTAGTTTTTTCAGTTTTTCATGTGAACCCAGGAGTTCTCAGCTATGAGCATTTCTGGGTTCAGAGCTGTCAAAATTCCTAGAACTGTCCCTGCTCGTTTGGCTGAAGCAGAAGGCAGGGAAGACAATAGGGGTCTAATAGATGTCTCTATAAAGAGTACCTGCTACCTGCCCAATGCTGTTACATGGGGTGCTTGTTAGCTGCCTTGTGATAGCAATAATCAAAATTAATCCATTAATCGATTTTAAAAATTTTTAATTAATCGAACACGAAAATTTTAATCATTAACAGCCCTAATATATATATATATATATATATATATATATCATAAAATGTAAATTAATAAATAAATTATATTAAACAAAAAAAAAATAAAAAGCACCCCAAAGATTGTGTTAAACATATTGAGTATCTCTGTGCACGTTGGAGTGAGAGAGATAATTCTAGGTCCCTCACTTATGGTAACTCTAAACTAATAAGCTTTTAAAGCATAATCTATTGATCATTCTAGGTACCATCATTTTTTAATGTTTCTCAGAAGCACATATTTGATATCTGTTTATTAGACACAACCTCAACTTTTATTTTCTACATTAAAAATGGGGATTATAATGTGCTTGTGTTCACTAAAATTCATTTTAGTGTACTTTTTCCTGAAAATATACACTCACTGGCCACTTTATTAGGTACACCTGTCCAACTGCTTGTTAATGCAAATATCTAATCAGCCAATAACATGGCAGCAACTCAATCCATGTAGGCATGCAAGGCGATCTGCTGAAGTTCAAACCGAGCAGAATGGGGAAGAAAGGTGATTTAAGTGACTTTGAACGTGGCATGGTTGTTGGTGCCAGAACAGGAATAAATGGGTGGTGACTACTTTACAACACACAGGGACCATGGGGAACCAACGTAGCCACCCTCCAGAAGGGAGGACAGTGTCAGCACCAATTCAGAGATGATTTGAGGATCTACATCAGAGTGATACATAAATAGGGTACTTGAATGTATTTTTAAGATTCAGCTGTTGAGTTTTTTGTCACTTTAAGCCCATGTGTTGGGTGAAATATGACAGAATGGCAGCACCCAGGCAGGGTTCTGCTGGACTGTCAAGATCAATAAAGTTTTTCTGAGGGCACTAGATCATGCAGTGTGCAGGAACACATGGTGAAGAGATCTTGTACCTGATTGCTGTCTTTTAATGCCGTTGAAGCATGCTGTTAACTGTCGCTTTGACGCCCACCATAGACAAAAAAATGGCAGGTAACTGAATCGTAGGCACTATGGCACCGTTACATGATGATGAAATACCTAACTTTCTATACAGGTTTGTGTATTTTTTATAATTGTGGATTATATAAGTAGATTTACCTTTTACAGATGCGTACATACGGCAGCAATGGTGACAATGATGTCTGCTGTCATTCTGGGAGTGTTTTTATTGTGTGTAAACACTAGAAAAATGACTTTTTGATCATACCTTGTAAACAAATTTTACGAGCTATCAAGTCTAAATTAACCAAAATGTCTTAATCATTAATCAGAATCAGGGCTTTATATGTTGCCCATAGCAACCAATCATATAATTCCCATCATTTTCAGCAAATGATGTGTGGAATGTGAATCTTCTGTACAGTGTAACCTTTCTCTTTAAAAAATATTGTTCCTAAGTGAGGCTCCAAGTATCAAAACACATCCTTACCTATATCTTCTCCTTGTTTTAGATGAGTGACATCAGTCCAACCTTATATTCTGCCGATAATGAAGAAGACGACCTCATTAGTGATCTTTCTAAGGTATGTCCTAAATTAATTGCAGATCTCGCTGTGTTTGGTAATCTAAAAAAGAAAAAAAGAGTAATTAAATTTGAACTCCAGGCACATAAATGTTATTTAAAGAACTCCGGGCAAAATTTTTATTAACCCTCGCAGTGGGACTACCCCCGTACTGCAAGAGTTAAGTGTTAGTTTTCGTCTAGGTGCTAAATAAAAAAGTTATACTCACCCAATCCTCCGAGCCGGCTCCCAGACCAGTCCTTCCAGCGTCGCTCTCCCTCCGCTCCAGTGGGCTAAGGATCCCTGAGTCATCACGTTCTACACACTGTAGGAGGAGGAGAGAGGTTGGAGGGTGCACTGTCAGGGGGGGTCCTAATATAAATGGGGGCTCTTTATGTAAAGGGTGACTCTGATGTGAAATGGTGATTCTGATGTGAAAGGGGGGACTTTTGTGTTTTTGCATAAGGTATCCCCTTAAAATCCATACCAGACCCCTATCTAGGATAAGGCTCTGGTATGGATTTAGGAGGGGCCGTGCGTAATTTTGGAATGTGGCATTTCTACATTTACATTTTTAGACTTGGGTGTCCTACTATTTTGCACAATTCTAAAGGATGCCATGATTGAAATAAAGGTTGAGAAACGCTGGTCTACACTTATATATTTTTTATGAAATGAGGGTTCAGTTAGACTGTAGATAACACTTTATCACAGCCCTGTGTTTTGTTTTTACTGTTCACAGCGGTATAGCTTACCAGTGGAAGGAGGCAAACACCAGGACCTTAGATATATCACAAGTAATACAGTAAGTCATTCCTGATTGAGTAATACCTTTATCCACATTTGTGCTTTATATGTCCTGTGGCAGTGTAAGCCAATGCCACGGTGGAGGATGGCGACCTTGGCACCCAGGACTCTCAGCCAAAGGGGCTGAGAGGGTCCAGAAAGTAAAGCAGGTTATAAGGAAGAACCTGGCTTTTATCCCACTTCTGACACCACTTGTAACAAGGACACTCCACTGTAGTCCAGGTAAGTCAAGGAAACCACAGTTTATTGAAAGGGCAAACACAAAATAGCTTGAAACAGCAACATAAGACAGTCATTTAGCTTCGCTCGGTAGCTTTCCAAAGCTTCAAGACACTCACGCTTGCTCACCCCTCGTGAGCCCTCACTCTGCTCTCTTAGTAGTCTGTCCGACAGGTCCCTGGGGTCACCGACCTTCCTGACCTCTCCCAGCCACCCCTGGCTGACCATTCCAGATAAAAACTGCGGCCTTATGTTCAATATTTCACAGTGGTACCGGCTCCTCTCCTGGACTGAAATGGCTTTCTCTGATTTCACTGCACATTGTGAGCTTCTCACCAGGCCCGGCGCTACCGCAAAACAAGGCAAGCGGCCGCCCAATGGGCCGCTGATGGGGTGAGGGCGGCGGTTGCGGTCCCTGGGGCGCGCTGGGCCGCACAGAGAGAACGGTCAGGTGGTGGAAGAGGAGGGGCCGAGGCGGGACCGGAGGCGGGGCTATGCCGGGCCGAGTGAGATGCGACCCGTCCACGGCCGCCCCAGGCCAGCTGACAGGGCGGATCGATGGCAGATGCTGCGGCAGCGGGCAGCATGGAGGCTCCGGGGCTGTCACTGTGGACAGCGAGCGGCACTTTCCTGCTCTTCCAGTGTGGGCTCTGCAGGAGCAGAGCATCTGACCAGGCTGAGGCTGCACCAACTAGGGCGACAGTAACAAGCAGGTAGGTGGGCCTGGGGAGGCTTTATCATAAGGGCTTGTTCAAACCGAAAGCGGGGGGTTCCAGAGCGGTAGCTGCTGGAACGCACCGTGATCTTCCCCCTGTGTTCTGGGGCGGGAGGGGTGCATTGAAGTCAATGGCACCGCTTCTACGCTCCCCCCACCCCGCTCCCACTTCGCAGTGCGATCGGACGCTTGGCAAAACTTTCACCTGTCAGCGCTCCCTCTCTCTCCTCCCAGACGCTGCAGCTTCAGAGCGGCCAGGAGGAGAGGGAGCGCTGACGGTTGTGATCGCCGCCTTTCTAAGCAGAGGAGCGTCAGGCAAGTTCCCGCCCCCCGCAACTTTATTTTTTTATATTTCATTTTTATTTATTTTTATTGAATAATTTTTTTTTTTACTTTACTGTTGGGAAATATTAGGGGTCTAACAGACCCCTGGTATTTCCCTTTTAAAATAGAAAAAGATTGAGGACACCCTCAAGCCTTTTCTCCAGGCTCTGTTATCAATGAACCGGAATCCTCTATACTGAGTGTTCCTGATCATTGATAACATGAGGACAGAGTGTGTTTACTATAACCACAACTATGAATGAACAGGAGGGGATGTAGATCACTTCCTATTCATTCATAATTGAGGATATAGTAACCATACTCTGTGCTCAATTATGTACAAACACTCAGCGATCACTGATCACTGACTGCTTGTACCCCCTTTCCATCCTGACAGCTGTCACAGGAGGCTGAGTGAGCAGTGCGGGAGGAGAGCTCAGCCTCCTGTGACAACGCTGTCTTTGCCCCCACACCGCTCTCCTAGAGGGGATGTGGGGGAGAGTGGGAACTGTATTTGTAGTCCTTTATAGTTGATGTACTCGGTCTAGAAAAAATGGTATCGGTGGATCTCTACTCCCATCCATGCCCGTACCGAGGTACAGACATGTATTAATATTGATGGGAGGCAGACTTAATTGACTACAAGTGCGGTTCATAGGCAGCCGTCTGAGGGCGCGGGGGGGGGGACGCAAAAATGCTCCTTCGCCTGTGTAGGCAAAAATCCTTGCACCGGCCCTGCTTCTCACCATGTGTATTGGAAGCTGCAGCAAGTCAGTAAGAGACCATCTCAAGTCCTGACTGGAGAACTTCAAGCATCTTCTAGTACTTTCCTCCCCAGCTCTACCGTTCCTGGCCTGTCCCTTTCCTTCATTGGATTTCAGTTCTTTCAATCATACAAGCTCAGCATTACATGTGGGTGTTACCTAGGGCCACACTGTATGCAAATATAGCCTGCCTAGGGACTCCCACTCCTCCAGACTGACATCTGCCCATCAAGGTATTGTGATATTTGCATAACTCCTCCCAAGAGACATTCTACTGCTTGCATAAAAGATGAGGTCTTTTGTGAGGCGTCCTGAGGCAGGGTGTTTTCAGGAAGCTATGTACTGCACTAATCTGCTGCATTGCATAGAGAAGCACAGACAACTGTCAGTTTGATGCCACTGAGTATGCAATGAAAACAAAGTTTTATTTACAAGCACCAGCTCTGCAAGGGGCTGGTGCTGTGTCATCAAGCCATCTTCTTGTGTGTACAAAGAGCTTTAATACTGCGCTGCCTCCTGTTTGCTGACTCGGACCGTCTGACCATTCTCTGCTTGCCGCCTGCCCTCATTTTCTTCCTGAACCTGCCTACGCTTTTGATTACTGACTGCTCGTTGCCAACCTAACCCGCCTGACCACTCTCTGCTAGCCCACTGTCTTGACCTGTTCCTGGATCCAACTACATTCTTGTCTCCTGTTTTGGTCTCCTGTCTACTGCGTGCTGACCCAAACCGTCTGACCATTCTCTGGTTATCTCCTGTCGGGACATCTGCCTTATCCTGACTGTGCCGCCCCAATGGGGCATAGAATATGTTGTAGAAGTTAGTATAGATAGAAGTTTTACATAGTGTGATTTGCCTAACTATTTTCTCATAGCTAAATCCATGTGTTATTCTATGCTGCCATCTAGTGGCCTTTTGTTGTAACAAACATGCTTTCTGTAATTATTCCTCATGTGACGACGTATTTTCCCCTAGTGTACGCCCCTTCCTTCTTCCTGTGTGCAGTACTTCCTGTGTCATGGCCACAGTTAGAAGCCACATGTAACAAGGACACACATGTAATCTGCACAGTACATAGGAAAGGCATCATTTTCTGACCGCACAATACTATCACCATTCATCTGCTGTTCCTGTTATCTGCTGTAACCTGATGTTAAATGATAAACACCTCTTTTGAATGAATCGGTATTGACGAGTTCAGCTATCTGACGAGGATTGTCCGCAGTGAGTATATCTGCTTATACAGGCCAGGCATAGAGGTCTCAGCAAGGGATATATTTCGCTATCACAACGATCGGAGTCAGAATACTCTACCTATAGAGGGAATATGTGTTTAGCAATCTTTAATCCAAGTCCTGTGTTTCATGATTATCTTTCTGCAGCTAGCAAACCTACTGGAAGGAAGATATAAGGATACTGTGGAAAAATACTATGTGGTCGATTGTCGCTATCCTTATGAGTATGCTGGGGGGCATATCAAGGTATAATATCTCTACCATAAATGTGGAAATATTGTTATATTGGAATTTTCATTTGATGTATAATTTTATTTATGTGGCCCCCAGTGCTAGGTTCTTCTCACAGAATTTTCAGGCTCTGCAGCCCCACCACCCTTCCTTACTTTCACATTCAATTCAATGAGGAGAGCCTAAGGCCCCTCATAATAAGCTGGATGGCTGGGTGGACCTCAGAAGTCTTATGCAGAGACCTATTAGAAAAACATGCAATAAATAGATGTAAGCGTGTGAGGAAATATTGGGGCTCTCTTCCTTATCCTTATACAACATTATTAGCTAAGACTACTATACATTAGACAACTACCTGTGGAACTATCCACCCCCTTTACCAGGACCCTAAGTGCCCGTTTACACCAATTTCAGTGTGTTCCAGCTGCTGGAACGCACTGGATAACACATCTTTCCTGTGTTCTGTGGCAGGAGGGGGCATGCATGCACTATTTTGTGCTATCGCACCAGACCGGATGGCGGGTATTCATGTGCCACGCAAACCCAGAACACAGGGGGGACTTACAGTATGTGATCCAGTACGTACCAGCAGCTAGCCATGCTGGAACGCACTGGAATTGGTGTGAATGGGCCCAATGAGTGTGTGCCAACAGGTTTTTGTTCACTTTAAAACATCTTCTCTCCCCAAACAAGTCTATAGGAATGCAAAAATAGCTAAAGTAGGTCAAATCCACCTGCAATGAATTCTGAATTATCTCAGAAGCGTCTAAACCTGCCATCAAAAGCACGCTGTAGTCTTGGATTCAAGCAGGGTCCCTTCATGCATGTCCATTAATTTGTAGTAAAACACAAACAAATATAGGACATGCAGCATTCTTGGGCTACACACATTAAATTGCATCTGCAAAAGCATGCAAAAACCCTATTCAGACTGTCTTCTCCCACTTTGAATAATGCATGCACACAAAACATTGCATTTAAAATGTTTAAAAATTTGCATAAATGTCTGCAGTAATGTGTATCAAAAACATGAACTTCTACACACATATACATAATTGTTAAAGGGCTCTAACATTACATTATGTTGTAATGCTACTAATACAAACTGATTGCTGCAGTCTGTCCCTGATTCATATCCAATAAATACCCCAAAATACTTAGAGGTCTATGTATAAACACCTCACAGAGCTATTAGCCCTATGAATCACTGTGAACATTTGTCCTGTGCAAATAGAGTAATAAATTAACGTTCTTAGTATATTTTCTTTTCAGGCTAAATGTAATGTAATAGCACTTTACGACCACTAGATGGAGCATACAAAATAAATACTTATTTCCTGTGCTCCTCAGCTCCATCTGGTGGTCATAATGCAGGATTACATTACATTAGACCTGAAAAGAAAATATACTAAACACATTCGTTTTGCCGGGCGAATGGCTCTTCAAATTGTTTATGAATAGACCCCTTAAAATACATTTTGAAATTATGTTCTACTGTTAAGTTCTACTGAACTCTTATATTTAGCTACCTACAGTTGTATAGTATAATTATTATTGTTACAGTGCTAACATTGTTACCAGTCAAATTTTCTTAATGCCGTTCTTCAAGTAATGTGTTGCTATCTCACACAGGAAGCCTGGAATTTATATAAAGAAGAACATATATCAGAATATTTTCTAAAGAGGCCGCCTCTTCCCGAGAGTCGAACAGTGCTGATATTTCATTGTGAATTCTCCTCGGAGAGAGCTCCAAAACTGTGCGTACAACCAAAACTGGCTTTAGATTCAGAGACAACGCATGCTTTCTGCATATACAATGTCTAACAACAGTTTAGCTATCAAGCATTTAGCGCTAATCACAGTTATTAGTCAAATAAATAGGTGAAACATATAGAAAGACTATGGGGTTGATTTACTAAGGTGGTAGCGCATGTTCACTTTACAAAGCGAATTTCCATTTAGATCAGTAATTGAGGGGTAGCTGTGAATACACAGTCAAGTGCATGGAGAATTTTTGCACACATAAAATTGGATGCTGGAAGTCGGCACAGCTTCACCTCGCTCAGTAAGCTAAGTGCAAATTTCACTTTGCTAAGGAGACGTAGTAAATCACCCCCTATATGTCTGTATAAATGGACTACAATCTCAGTACAGATTACTAAACTAAACGTGAAATTGTAGTCCATCACGGAAGCGAGCTTGGAGCAGTGACTACTTTACAACACACACAGGGACCATTGGGAACAAAACTAGCCACCCTCCAGAAGGAAGGACAGTGTCAGCACCAATTCAGAGATGATTTGAGGACCTACAGCCGAGTGATACACAAATAAGATACATTTTTGTTAATGGTTAGGATACTTGAATGCATTTCTAAAATGTTTCTGCTGAGTTTAGTGTCACTTTAATTCAGGACACATTGGGAAAATCTAATGTTTGGATCCTGGCATGTGTGGTGATCTTAAAGAGATGATGCACTTGGTAAGCGCTCCTTCTCCTATCCAAGATGAACCAGTTGCTGCATCTCCATAGTTTGTACCAAAGCTGCTATCTTAGAATTCTCCTTACAGCCACTCTTGAAGATCACCACTTGGTGCATAGCCTTACAAACATTTACAGAAATGTTCCAAATGATAAAAATGTGTGCGGATGGGATTCAGTCTGCAGAACAATAGAAAGGGCTCTGCCTGTTCAGTGCAAGAAGACTGTGAGGTGAATGGGCCCCACTTAGGGTCAGGTTTAATATACTGCACTTGTAGGCCACTGTCAGAACTGCACTTGAGTGGACCACAACAGGTCTCAATATACACAGTTCGTGTTTACTTGTAATTTTTGTCTTGATGAAATATTTCATGCCTTTATATGTAAATACACGCATTGTGCAGTGTGAGTATTTTCAGTCAGATTGTTTTAGGGGAATTGCATTTAAACAACTAATCTGACCACTATATAGACACGTTGTGGCCTAGCTCAGGGACTTGGGTGGCCCGTGATGGACAAGCTCCCTCCCATTCCCCTTTCGTCTCCATTTCTGACTGATCTCCTCCTCTTTTCTTATAACTTTTACTACCTGTCTGGCCTTTCACCAAAATTTGACTCTGTCAGGGCTGTTAAGGTTTGTGCCAGATGAAGCCACAAAGCGAGTGGATGTCATCAGGATATCAATGACTTAAACCGCATAAGTGGACATTTATATATCAATTGTGGTGAAGAATGTCACCAGCACACCGAAAATCCTTTCAGGATCACCAAATGTTCATTTTAATTAATGTCGCCTGTAGCTTGTTACTCAAGAATCCCTCCAGGCCTGAACAAACCCCCCCCGCACCCTGTTCCCAAGGGTAGTAGCGCTTTAGACTCCATCATTTCGTTTTGTCAGCTTGTTACTCAAGCTTGTCGCTTGGGCATGATCTATTTTTCGGCGCATTTCGTGCAATTTGGCCCAATAGACTTCAATGGTGTAGCACGACATTGTCGCGCTACAGAAGTGTCACTTTTGCACAGAAATATAAGAAGGAACATAAGCAGGAAACAGCAAGAGGAATTATGTCACATCAAGACCGCTTTTGATTGAATACAGCCCAATGTAGCAGCTACGAAGTCTATGCCAAAAGAAGCGCTACATAGCGTGACAATATGTGCACTGTAGCTCAATGTCGCTCAGCTTAAATCAGCGCTGAAAAAGTTTTTACTGATGTAGCTCATGTGAATGGGGTCTTAGTATCAAGAGCTTGCCCTCCACAAAACCTCCATCAGATTCCTATTGGACACTAAGAATCCCCTTCATAGTGATGACCCAATATAACTGTCTAAGCAGTTGTGTAAATGTGCATGCCCCAGAGCAGCTTCCTATGTTTTACATAGAACATAAACTGTGTATGTGGAAGGAATCCGTTATCCACAAAAACATTGCATTCTGCTATCGCCAAACGAAAAAGAGCCAAATAATCATAAGCCGATAAAACAATGTCTGTCCAGATAGCTAACAATGTAGGGACATCTCATAGCAGAATGTCGATAAAAAAGAGTCAGAGCGTAAAAAAAAGTGTGGAATAATGGAGAGAAACGGTCAGTACAGAGCATGAGTAAGAAGAAGAGAGCAGAACTAACAAGGAAGAACAAGATGAACAGGAACAGTCTGCCGGGAGTCAATGCAAAAGACCACCCCTCGGAGATCATAGATACAATAGATAAAACAAGCTATCTGTGTGCATCTCCGGAGGATGAAGTTTTATCCAGGGTTGCTACACGCACAGGCATTTGTTATGCTTGTCATCAATATAGTAGACAATTGTTCATTTGACATCCACCCTCCATCTAAACTTGGTTTAATTTTACAAAAAGTAATCACATAACATTGGTGGTGAACATTATCATTAGTGGCAGCCATGAGCTGCAGACATTCTGAGTTAATGTCAATCAGGGCTGCAACAACTAATCGATTATGAGAATAGTTGTCAACTATTCTCATTACCGATTAGTTGGGAGAGAGAGAGGGAAAGGGAGAGAGAGGGAGAGAGAGGAGGGGCAAGAGAGGGAGAAAGAGAGAGGAGGAGGGAGAGAGCGAGGGGGAAGTTAGAGAGAGAGGAGGGGGGAGAGAGATAGAGGGGGAGAGATATTTTTAATACAACTAATTGATTAATCAAACAACTAATCGGACAGCTAATTGATTATGAAAATAATTGTTAGCTGCAACCCTAATGTGAATCTTTATATAGTCATTATGGCAGTCTAATGTATTTACTACTATGGATATAAATTCCCTACATGATCTTTTTCTGCTCTCATTCAAGGTGCCGTATTTTAAGAAATCTGGACAGGAAGGAGAACATATATCCACATTTATATTACCCTGAACTCTACTTGTTGAAGGGCGGTTATAAGGAGTTTTATGAAAACGTTAAGGTATGTATTGCAGTAGAAGGAGGAATGCCTGAGAAATGATTCATTCATGAATAGACGTGAGAATGACAGTGCTGAGAGTAAATTAAATAAGTAACGATGATATTCTACACATAAGGTGAGATTAAGGAAGAATAAAACAAAGATTACTTAAAAACAGCGCTGTATTTAGCTGTATACATGCACGTTTGTGACACTAGCTCATTGCAAGCTCTTGTGTAAAGAAGGATTTTGTTCCTGAGCAGTTACATTCTTTTCCTGCTAGGGGGAGTCATTGAGACAGAAATTCAGGCTGCTTTTATTATGGAGCAATACAAAGAAACTGCTGAATATCTATTTACTGAGTCATTGTATCTATACTTTTTAAAAAAAATATAAAATGGGGAAGGATTAGAATTCCTGTCAGGTTTTACTGCAGTCAGAGGCTCAGGTAGAGAAATTCCTTTACTTCCTATCTAGTAAAAAGGTTGTCCCCAGGAGAGGCAGTGAGGGTAAATCTCTCTAATGGAGCCCCAGATAGCAGTAAAACCTGACTGGGTTCTAAACCTGACTGGGTTCTCCACTCTATCCAAAACTAAAATAAAAAAAAGTTCTGGGTATAGATACACATCCACATAAAGGGGTCCATTTATAAACAATTTGCAGAGTAGTTCACAGTGCGAATCTCTGACAATGTTTGATCCGTGCAAATAAAAATAAAGGTGCACCGAAATTAAAATTTCAAAACCCAAAACGAAAAAAAATTTCAAGCCGAAATCGAAAATGTTTTTTATTCTAACTTTTTCAATATTTGATTTTTTATAAACTTTTAAATTCTTTTATATTTTATTTATTTATTCACTTTTTACTTTACTTTTAGGGGCTTCGGGGGAAATATTGGGGGTCTAAATAGCACTGCAAGCTGCCTCCGCCCACACCGCCGCTCTTCTGATCTGTGACAGGAGGCGGAGCGGTGCGTGGAGGAGAGACGCCGGCCGCTCTCAGCGCTCTCCTCCTCCGGCACCGCTCGGCCCCCTGTGGCAGTTTCTCTCCTCCCGGCTGGGACACAGAGCAGCGCCGAGCGGGGAGGAGAGAATAGGATGCCCCGCTATATTGGCCAGAAAACTGCACTTTCGGTGGCTTATATATATCGGTGCATCCCTAGAGAAAATATTTTTTCAGGTGCAATGTAATGTAATACCACACTATGGCCACTAGATGGAGCAGAGGAGAACAGGAAATGAATGCTTATTTCATAGGCTCCTAAGCACCATCTAGTGGTCATAGTGTATTATTACAACACTATGTTGGAACTGGGAAAGCTATATAAAGAGCCAGTGGTTTCACAAGGGTAACACCATCCGAGGGGGTGACACCAAAATGACTGACAGTTGTTTTGGTGTCACCACCTCTGAAAAATCTGGCACTCGGTCATGGCCCGAGAGCCCGACAGCTGCGGGAAATAGGAGGGGACTGGGCGCCACATTTTATCCCACCGGAGGAAGTCCCCTCCTGAAGTGCATGTGATGTCTTTACGCGGGTGACACCTGCACACACGCAGTTGCCATCGAAGGTAACCTCTGCTTACCTATTGTTAATTCTGTGCTCACTTTGCTCAGCTCAGGTTTGCGACGGGTTCACTTCAACCATCTTCTCCTCTCACTTTTATATTCATTTTTTTTTTCTTTCAGGATCTTTGTGAGCCGCAAGGTTACGTGAACATGCTTCACAGCGATTTCACAGATCAGCTCAAGAAATACCATACAAAGAAAAAGCCGCCCTCGGGACAGAGGGTGCGCAAGGAGCTTTTCAAACCGCTCAACTCCCACAAGCGCTTGGGTCCTGTGACACCACAAAGTTTATTGAAACCAATAAATCAATAAACGCCATTGAAAACGCTTGTCCGTAAAAACTGCGCCGAACTTACGACAGCAATAGAGGAAAATAGTTTATGTACATTCCCTACCCTTCCCAAAAATCAAAGCCCATCAACCAATGCACCCAACCCATTACAGTGGAAATCCAGACAAGGTTATCCGACCGTAGCAGGAAGTTAGAAGAAATCTCCCCATCGGAGGATGCAGACAACCGTAAGAAGCTGAGAGCGGTTCTGGGATCTTCCCACTTTATCTGAAGCTAGAGTGCCACTTTAGAGACCCTAGCTACAGCTCAGGACCTTATTTTCTGTAGGAAGGTCATTGGGGAGGGCCACAGTAGTACTTGTGTTCCCCAATATCTATCACTTCTGATTCGTGGTGGTACAGAGATGCATGGTCTGCCATAGACTTGGCATTATATGCTTTTAGATTGTACGCTCTCACATGCAGGGCCCTCCTAACCCTCTTGTATTGTATTGCATTGTGACTGTGCTGTCTCTATTTATTTTTTTAAACGCCACACAACCTGTTGGCGCTCTATAAATCCAATCCTGTATTATAATAGTATTTACTCTCAGTCAATATGCCATACCGTGTTTCCCCGAAAATAAGACACTGTCTTATTTTCTTTTTTGCACGAAAAAAGACACTAGGTCTTATTTTCGGGGGATGTCTTACCTGGCTGGGGGAGGACTGGACGTCCCAGAAGGTGCTGTTGCTGGCCCCGGTGTGATCTTATGCCGGTTCCATCGGGCGTGTGGGCGGGAGCTGCGGCCGGCGGGAGTGTGGGCGGGGTGGGAACTGCGGCCGGCGTGTGGGCGGGAGCTGCGGCCGGCTGGTGTGTGGGCGGGAGCTGCGGCCGGCTAAAATTCAGTTTATGTGCCGCTACCCCGAAAGTAAGACCTAGCGGATTTCTGCAATATAAGACCTACCACCGAACTAGGTCTTATTTTCGGGGTAGGTCTTATATTACAGAAATCACTAAAGATAGCGCTAGGTCTTACTATCGGGGTAGGTCTTACTTTTGGGGAAACACGGTAGGTACTGCATCCCTGTCTTTGACTCAGCACAGACACCTGCCCATAGTCAGAGGAGAGGGACACAGACATCCCAACCTGAAAAAAAATCATTTCAGGGAGCTGCCCTTCTCATTACAGCAGTGGTTCTCAACCTTTCTAGGGCCGGGACCCCTTGGTAACATTTGCCAAGTTGTGGTGACCCCCAACGGTAAAATTTAGGGTTGGCGCGGCTGCTGCGTCGCCATCTGGCGGCGTGGCAGGAGAACTGACACTGCTGCGCTAGGAGAGGGCTGAGGAGGACTCTCACCTAGCACAGCAGGAATCACACAGCGACCCCACAGATTGAGAACCGCTGTTGTAACAGCTAAAATGGCAAACCATATAACACAAGCCAAGGGTGTCAGCTTTTATTATTAATAATAATGATGATAATCACTAGATGGGGACCTGATGGAGGACTGCAGGTCCCCCTCTGCTGATTGACAGCAGCAGTGGGCGGGTGCAATAGCTAGTTTGCTATTGCAAAGTGAAATAGCCAATAGGAATGTAGCTATGCATTCCAATGCTGATTTATTTATTTTTTTCTGACTTGTCAGAAATAATAATAATAATAATAAATAAACGATCGCAGCGAAAGGTTTACTCTGCTTGATAGAGCAGATTAAACCTTTCCGGGAGAAAGTGTTTCTTTCCCGGGCGGCAGGGAGCCGCTATCTAATAGCGGGAGACTCCCGGTGACCCCTGGCAAATTGTCATTCGACCCCTGAAGGGGTCCCGACCCACAGGTTGAGAACCACTGCATTACAGGGAGGTGCCCTTCTCATTACAGGGAGGTGCCCTTCTCATTACAGGGAGGTGCCCTCTCCCCCATCCCTGATGGGGAGACGGACAGGGGAGAGGGCACCTCCCTGAAATGATGGCAGATAGCAAAGGAGCTAATGCTATTACCCTGCTATCTGCTGTTTCAGCTGACGTCTGATTATAGGCGGAGCCTATATCTCGATGGCTGTCCTGGAAGATGACTGGGGAAAACAGATAGCAGGAGAATTAACAGCTAGGCTTCTATTGGCTATTTCAATTTGCAATAGCCAATAGCAGACTGGCTATTGCACCCGTCCCACTGTTTCTGTCAATCAGTAGAGCTGGACCTGAAGGAGAATCCTCCCCTGCTGATTGACAGCAGCAGTGGGGCGGGTGCAATAGCCAGCCTGCTATTGCAAATTTAAATAGCCAATAGCAGCCTAGCGATTCATTCCCATGCTGCCTGTTGTTGTTTTGCAATAGCCAATACCCGCCCCACTAGTGCTGTCAATCAGCAGAGGTGGACCTGAAGGAGAATCCTCCTTTGCTACATGTCCCATGAGGCATGGAAAGACTCTGACAGCCACAGCCATGACTCCCAGGGGCAGAGGGATGTTGGGAATGGTAGTTAAAACATAGCTTTAACTACAGTCCCCCCCCCCCCCCTTCCCCGTGGTGTTTCCTGGGCTCAGCTGCCCCTCCTGCGGGCCTGGCATGGTGGGTGTCGGCAGAGAGAGACCAGAGACATCCATTTGCTGATCTCCTCCCTGCCGGAAGCTACAATGATTTTCCGGTTTCCGAGCTTGACAAGCTGGGGAAGAAGGTGATCAAACACGATCAGCAAAGGTGACATTAGGGGTCTAATAGACCCCTAATGTCTCCTTAAAGAAGACCTGTCATTACTAAACTGCTATGACATAAGGAGCTTAGAAACCCCCTATATGTAAGCAATGAAGTTAAGTTTAAAAAAAAATAATAATTGCAAAAGCACCAAAAAAAATTAAACATTAAAAAAGTCCCCCTACCTACTAACGCACACTAATACAAATGTTGGGTGTACCTACGTATGACAAAGACGATTGCACCACACATTAGGTATCCCGGCACATTCGGAAATAAGAATAATAGGGGGTTTAGATAATCTTTAGGCCTAAAATGTGCATTTTAAAAAGTGGGGGGGGGGGAATCATACACAAACAGCTCTGGCAGCCAATACACGTTTCCTGTAGGAGTTTTGTTCGTTGGAATGGATAGTCTGGTGACAGGGCCTCTTTACTAAAACGTATCACCTCGTTGTGCACTTTCCTGATCTGTACTGCCATAGACACACAAAGGTTTGCCAACATGTCATTGCATTGTACGTAATTATGACATGGCGGCCACTGAGACATGTGCAACACCCTGTAATCTATTTGACATTAAACTTATTCACACACCGGATGAGGTGACTCACTGAGAGGGGGGCTCTCCAAATCACCTCACAGTGACATAAACACACAGCAGCACTGTACACATCCCGCCGTCAAAAGTAGGCGCGCGCAGCCAGCGCCCTGTGAAGGTCACGTCGCCCTCGTCCCAATACGTGCGCTACGTGCACCCAGAGCTTTGAGGCGGAGCTAGACGAAGCGACGCAGTGAACGAAACTCGGGAGGCCATCTTTAAAAAGGGCATTACCCGCTTGCTCATCGCCGTGCCACATATCAGAATCACCTATTAGCAGTTTAAATGATCGTGCTTTCTGCACAGTAACGGAAGCTTAGCGGTGTTTGAAGTAGTCTATAACACGGATGAATATTTTAACACACATAGACACAACTGTTCTACAGTCTCAAAGTATTGCTAGATTACGGTGACGCCTATTATTACTGTTTGCTCTTAAAAAGAAAGAAAAAAAAAGGCATTTGTGTCGAAGCTGTCTACGCATGCGCAGTAGCTAACTTCATCTACGGGACGCCAGCGTGCTTGGGAGGTCCGTGTACGTGACGTAGAGAGCTAGCCGCCCATTCCTCCGGGCCGATTGGCGCATGCGCGGAACTCACTGACTTCTGCAGTGTGACAGCCGGCCAGAAAAGAAGAAGGGATGGCAGCTTACAAGATCGTCCTGATCCGCCATGGGGAGAGTACCTGGAACCAGGAGAACCGCTTCTGCGGCTGGTTCGATGCTGACCTCAGCGAGACTGGAGCGGACGAGGCCAAGCGAGGGGGTCAGGCTTTGAGAGGTGATGTATAACCTTCAAGGGGATATGATAGGGAGCCCCACCTCATCT